GGAACAGTTCATTTGTTCCTCGGCTTTTATCCTTCATGCTGTTGCTGAGGAAAGAAGCTTCACTCTGCATGCTGTAAAGACCTGGTTGGGGTGGGCTTCTTTCATCATCTGTAAAATAGGAGAGTAACACCTACCTGTCAGGGCTATTGGGAAAATAAATGAGTACATTCAGGAAGCACTGTAATACAATGAGTAGCATATAGCGGACACTCAGCAAGTATGCGTTCACTCATATTCCATTGTCCCGTGTAAGTACCTCTGTTGAAATCCTTATCAAACCATCTTGTAATTATGCATCTTCTCAAAGGCAAAGAATGTATCTCAGTCACCATTTGTACCCACAGCTCCTAGCACAGTGCTCAGCTCTCTGTAAATGAGGGAAGAAAGAAGGAAAAGAATCCAATATCCAAGCATGGCCCTCATCTCACTCACACTCATTTTTTATTTAGGAAAATGTCATGTTGCTTGTCTGTGTAAATAAGATCTCTGAGAGGATACCAGACACTGTAGGAGTGGTTACCTTGAGAACTCTGGCACTCAGAGTCAGAAGGGAGAGAAACTTACTTTTCCAGTCAGAAGGGAGGGAAACTTTACTTTTTGTCCTGCTTTTAAACATTTACCATGGACACCCTGGCTGGTGTGGCTCAGTGGATTGAATGCCAGCCTATGGATGGAAAGGTCACTGGTTAGATTCCCAGTCAGGGAACATGACTGGATTGCAGACCAGGTCCCCAACTGGGAGTGTGCAAAAGGCAACCAAATGATGTTTTCCACCCTCTCTTTCTCTCTCCCTTCCCCTTTCTAAAAGTAAATAAATAAAATCTTTAAAAATTTATCATGGGCAGTCATACTTCTCAAAAATATTTATGTCATTTTTTAGGGGGGAAATTCTCCAAAATTAAATCAAAATCAAAATATCATGTTGGAAAGATCTCTAAAAATCATATAAGGAAGAAATATCTGTGGTTAATAAAAATAGGAAAAAGTGGTCAAACTTACTAGGAAATACACATTAAGACAGTGAGATCTTCACCTAGATTGCAGAGGTAAGGAATGATAATACTCCATGTTGGTAAGGATGTGTGAAATAGGAATCTTCTCACTTGAAAAATTTTAACAAACATTCTAAGAATTTTCCCCAAGGAAATAATTGAATTGTGTGCAGGTTTCTGTACAAAGTTGTTAGTTGCAATAACATTACAACCCAAATGTCTGGATATTTGGTGGGGAAACCTGATCCTCATCCAATGCTATGCCTCTCCCCAACCTCAGTCCATCTGATGGAGCAGCAAGTGGGGTCCTAGGCAGTGTAATCACCCAAGTTGGTGTAAGCAGTATGGGCCAAAGAGAGCCTGGGAACAAAGGGAAGAGGTGAAATTGAAATGCCTTAATTTCTGGAGAGATCTTGGCCTTGGATATTCAAGGGACTGCAGAGAAAGTTAATTCTTATTTGGTACAGTATGTATCACTTCCATAAGTAGCAGAGTAATTAAACTAGGGCTCTAGAAGGGCAGAGACTGCTCACATAGATGGTAGCTTGTTGCACTGTGTGGCCCAGAGGAACCTGGGTACCTTCCTATCTCTGAAGAAGCAGGAGGGTTCTGTATCTGAGAAGGCAGGAATTGAGGGGTTTTCTTCAAGTGCTGCATAAAGGATTGTCTCTATATGGCCTCTTGGACTGTGGCTAGACTGCAGGTGTAGAGACTGCTGGCTTTGCTCACTCATAGTGACTCTAGGTATCTCCCTGCTTGACCCATGCCAGAGGTTAAAAAGAGCCATGAGTAGACAAGAGAGAAATAATGATAAACCTGAAAAGACCTTACAGCAAGAGAGAGGGAGAGCTGGCAGAACTCTTTAGAAACAGAGGAGACAGATGACAGTGCTACCTGCAATACAAAGACTGGAGATTTGTAGCAAAACTTTCTGGAACTGAACAGCATGTTTTGTTTTTTATTTAATTCAGTAGATAAATGAAGGAGAGGATGCTCATCACAAAGCCAGTGGTCTCTTAGATAAAATGTAGCAAATATCTCAAAACACACCAAAAAGAGAAAAAGAAACCAGAAAGGCAAAAACTGGAGGGACCAATCAGTACTGAGCTCAGTGCTGATTAGACTTTTTGAACCAATCTCTGTGACCAAGAGTTGCCCCTCCCACTTGCTGTGTTACCTGAGTCAATCACCAAGCCAAGGGGCAAGGCCACCAAATTGGTTAGCGCTGATTAAAATAATTTTGAGGGTGGAGTCAATACCACTCACATAGTGGGAGGAGGTGGAATTTTTTTTTTAGAACAATTATCTTGGCTATCCCTATAATAACTGATAGTACCTAACTGAAACAATTGCCCTAAGGATTGGTGAGATCCTGTGTAAGATGCTTAACACAGTGTATGGCACTTAGTAAGCTCTGGGAAAAGAGCTATTATTTGTTAGATCTAGGCAGGCCTAGGAGGAATGAAAATCACCAGGCAAGAAAATGGCACCATGGGAAGCTGCTGCAGACCCTAACCAGGGAGATTAGGGTCTGGGGTCTGCTTATCTGGCATAAAAGGATGCAGCTTTCACCCAGCAACCTGCTCTAGCCAATCAGACTCTAATACCCCAACCATAGGTTTTTGCATTTAAAAAACCTGATCTAAGAACGACGGAGTGAATCCTAACCTCCCTTGGTTGGCTCCACTTTCCCTCTTATTCCCCGCTAATAAACCCTGCTCTCCTTAGCTCGCTGCACCCTTCCGGTTTCTTGAGCAACTTCAACCTAACATTATTATTTTCTCATTTGTGTTTAAAAAGTGTTTTTAAAGTTTGAATGGATATGTACATTCTCAGGGATTTTTAAAAGATTTTATTTATTTATTTTTAGAGAGAGGGGAAGAGAGGGAGAAAGAGAGAGAGAAACATCTACGTGTGGTTGCCTCTCCCAGGCCCCTCACTGGGGACCTGGCCCGCAACCCAGGCTTGTGCCCTGACTGGGAATCAGACTGGTGACCCTTTGGTTCACAGGCCAGCACTCAATTCACCAAACCACACCAGCCGGGGCCCCTTCTCACTTTTGACAGTTCATTTTAAATTCATTTTAAGCTCACCTGTACATTGAATCTTAGAAACAATAGAATGTTCCTCTGTCATCAGCTAGGGAGTGCTTCTTAAACTTTAATATGCATATAAATCACTTAGGAAACCTGTTAATTGAGGAGTCTTAGTTAAATGCAAATTATGATTCAGTCGATCTGAGTGAGGATTGAGGTTCTGCATTTTTAACAAGCTCCTAGGTGATGCTGATGCTGCTGGACCACAGATCGCATTTTGAGTAGCAAGGACATACTTCGGGTTTTGCTTCTGTTGTATGATTGAAGGGGCTTACCACTGCATCCATGGGGAAAGGGGAGAGAGAGGACAAGGAAAGCAAGTAATTTCCTTTTTTTAACTTTTTATTTAAAAATTTTCAAATGGGATTATCTGAAAGAATAATGCAGTAAACATCTATGTAACATTCACCTAGCTTCATCAATTGTTAACATTTAAGCAAGTTCCTTTTGAGGACAGGACACAGAAGATGCCTACATCACTTTCACTCTCATCCATTGGTAAAAACTTTGGCATATAGCCTCACCTTTGCCCCAAGAGAGGCCAAGAAATATAAACCTATTTTATAGGTCTATAGGTCTAGCAGCTATTTACCAGCTAGAGAGGGTAAGGTTCTATAACTACAAGAAGATATAATAAAGCAGTTATTTTTTAGGAGGGGAGGAGAAGGGGAGGGGAGGAGGAATGGGACAATGGACACTAGGGGACAGTTAGCCACTTCTGACACACTCCCCTCAAAGTGGATTCTGGAAAGATTGGATCTAAATTTGCAGCCCATCTCTAGAGAGTATGTAGGGCTTCAAATTCTGCATTTTACACTCCCACCTCACTCTTAAGTGTCTTATTGTCCTTTATCTCGATGTATTGTGTAGATCTTTCTAATTATTCTTAATGTTTTGCAACAAGTTTATTAATAAGCAATTTAATGACACATTAAATAGTGTAGAGTGCTCATTTCTGAATAAGCCTAAACACAGTTTACCATAGCATTTTTGCTTACAGTAGTATGTTTGTAGTACTTAAACCTATAACTCTATAGAGTTGTAAATAGTATTATATTAATTTTCATTGCGTCTGTGATTTATTTTAGCCTTTTACAAAAGATAGGAACTTACAGAAACAGCTACCAAAAAGGAAATGTAAATACAGGTTACTTTACATAAATCAGGATTCCACTAGCCACTACACATATGTAGATAACGCATGATTTATTTCTTGTTGTTTTCTATCGCATTGTTATACTATTCTTGATCTCTTTATACAAGTTACCTTAAAACTTTAAATCTATTTAGATACCATTTCCTTGTCAAAATGTTAAAAGAATGTGGTGTTAACATTTCTAACATTATTTTATTTAGACTTTTAATCTGTGATAACGTTTATTCTCTTGAATATGAATTAAATCTTTTAATAATTGATCGCTGTACCCCTTGGCTGTAAGCAGGCCCTTTTTATTCCACTCTCTGGCTATATGAACCATTGTTTAAATTATTGGGAGGCAAAGAATAAATTCCTGCTTTAAAATTAACATCAGATTTTGCTCAACACGATTCCCTAGAGGGCTCTGTATCTTGTGATATAGGGCCCTCCTGCAATTTGAGGTCAACTGACCCCTGCCCATTTACACAGTAACAGCCCTAAACTGCCTTTCTCAGACAGATCTCAGGTTGTTGGGCTAAAGTCTGGCGCTGGGAAGGGGGATGCTACTTGCAGTCGGGCGAGTCGTTCAATCTCGCTTCCCTGGGCTGGGACAGACAAGCACAAGACCAAACAAGGGAAATGCTAGCCGAGAACTGGAGAGCTGTGAGCAACCTCCCAGTCTGCGCATAGGCCCCTTAGAATCAGGCCCGCCTCATCTGGGCACCCTAGTCAGCTGTCAGAGCTCCCCCTCGCCTTCCATACGCCCCCCCTAACCCTGTAGACGTTCCCCCACCAGCGTCCCAGCTTTGTCGCCGCGGATTTCAGGGGAGGCCTGCCCGCTCCTAAGATGGCGGTGTCGGCCTCAGGGAGGTGGCGACCTACGTGAGCCCCAGTGGCCAATGGGCTGCCGGCCCAGCACGAGGGGCGGAAGTGCCTCGGACAGTCGTCTCGGTAGCGGCGGCGGCCCCTGCCGGTTACATAATTCGTTACGGGTTTACGGGCTCCGTGCGGCCCCACTTCCGGCTCCTTGCGACCCCAGGATGCGTTGAGCCCCACGGCGCCGTGCGCTGAGGCTGGCTCCCAACTGAGGTAAGGCCGCGGGGCTCTGGCTTGTGGTGGAAGCGGACGACGACGGATCGTAAATAGAGAGGAGGGGCAGTTCGGGTTGGGACAGGCGGTGGCGCAGGGGGCCTTGCTGGGGCGCGGGACTACCGCGCTGGTGGAGGGAAGCCGAGGGGCGTCTCTCGCCACTCGGTGCCCAAATCTCGCCGCGGGGTTTCGGGGCCACGAGTGACCTCGCGCTGGGCAGGGGCGAGGAGGGGCCGCGGAGTGAGGAGGAGCATCACCCCAAACCCCAGGGGTGCCGAGGGGTGCGGTTCCCAGCGTTAGGTAGAAGCCAGCCCTTTCACCTAGGGCGCCTCGGTGCTGGACCCCAGGAAGAGTTGTTGGGAATGCCTGGAACCAGAGTGCAGCCTGCCCCTCGTTACTCACTGGGTCTCACTCGAGGTTGAAGTGCCTGGCCTTTTCACAGTTGAATGACTTGCTGCCTCCTCGATTGACTTTGGTACTTGTTGCACTGTTTGTAGTTGTTTTGCCGGTTTGTTTGCTCTCCTGTGAACTCCTGAAAACCTGGGGGCTCTGTCTTGGTCGTCTCCGCTTCTTATTCAGCTGCACCTTTTCGTAGTAAGATAAATCAATTCCTTGCTTTTCTGGTAGTTTATATGCACACCCCTACTCTGACCTCCTCCGCCAAATTGGGCACTTTCTAAGGAACAGAGGGAATTTGTGGCATCTGTGGTTTGTCCCACTGAGAAAATTTTGAGGGACGCTGTGGGCCTTCTTTGGACCATTAATAGCAAATGTCTGTGTGCCTGCCCAGCGGGTGACAAAACCCAGGACCTGAGATGAAGCAAGGAGTAATTCTGCAGTAAATGTGGACATTGCTGTTTCATTGATCTGTTTTCACTCTGCCAAGTCCTTGACCCGTATAATTTTGTTACTCATTTGTCCTGAAGGAAAGGATAGCCCCATACAGTAGTTTCTTGTGGTACTCAGAGTGGTTGTTAATCCTAGTGTCAGAATTGGAGAGAACATTGCCGGTTGCAGATATTTTACCAGAGAACTAAAGACAGAAAATCCCTAGTTAATGTTTGACTGAACTGGGACAGACTCCAGGTCATCTACAGAAATATTGAAATCCTCCTAGCACTTTGTGAAGTCGAGAGGAGTGATAGAAGTTTTATGGCCAATAGTACCAGGCATCATTACATTGAAAGGGACTGAAAACAAAAACAAATTCATTCATTCAGATTTATTCTCTCTCCCCTCCCCCCTCTCTTTTGCCCTCCCCCTCAAGTCCCTGAGTCATTTTAAGCTCAGAGAGGATGGAATTAAAGACTAAAATAAACTCAAGGGTGGCTGAAATATACATATATTTTGCCTTGTATAATGCCCACTTTTTGCCCAAATTTGTGAGGGAAAAAAAGGATGCACATTATACATGGGTAATAAAAATACCATATCTGTATAAATGTTTTTAATTCTTTTACTTATGCTTATGAGTTAAGAGCATAACTCTAGAAAGCAATAACCATATATGTATGCAAAATAATACCCTAGAATAGGATAATCGGTTTTGTTTCTAAATATAAATAATAAATAATTGAATTAAAAAATTAAAATGAAAGATTTTTTTCCCTGAAACTTTGGGCCAAAAACTTGAGTGCACATTATGGACGGGAGCACATTATACATGGCAAAATTTGGTAAGTCCCAGTCATCTTTCCAAATGGACAAATCAGCCATGGCAGTGCACAGAGGTCTTCAGCTCTCTGATTCCAGAATTTTGTAGCCATAAGAATTAGTGTCCAAAGCAGCCCTTTGAGAATGCAGTGTTCATGAGTCCTTTATTGGACCAGGGTTTGCTAGAGTTCCATCTTACTGAGCTGTTTAGTTTTCTATGAAAATAGTTAAAGCCTATGAGAAATAAAGCCAGGACATGGAGTTGTGTTAACAGGTCAGAATAAAAAATATAGACACATTTTTAAAATGTCTGTGTGTTTCCTGTCTTTGGCCTCTCCCAGTTGTAACTTGCAGTGACTTTGTCACTGTTTATTTTAACCACACCTATTCCAGATTTGGAATATGACTTATTGAAGTTGCTGAGTAACAGCATGCTGTGCCCTGAATGGAAGAAAATTCCTGGATGATAGGAGATTGAAAGGAGATTAAAGATACACCTGAACTGAGAAGGGTGCTGCTGTCCTGGGTGCTCTGCCCGGTCTCCAAGCCTCAGTGTATCTGTTAGCAACAGTTTGATGTCTCAAAGCCTGAGGTGCGTTTAGAACAGGTGGACATGGCATCCTCATATTGCAACAGCTACAGGGAATACACTGTAGGGAAGACTCTCAGAACTCTCAGTTCAGACCAGTGCATGTCTTCTGTCTGCTGAAACAGCCAAGAGGCTTCACTCTGTTGGTGATAGCTCTTCTACCTGAATAGAAAGCTGACTGCCTATGAGGCAGTGTCTTCCCTTTTGGTGGCTCCTTTTATCTCTACATCTTATCTCCATTTTCTTCCTTCAACATCTCTCTGGAAAGAATCCGCAAAGCCCTCATGGTTTTTCCATCTCAGTTCCTTGTTTGTAGAAAACAAGCTTGTTGTATAGACTCTGCATTGAAGCTGGTCCTGCTTGTGTCCATGTGCAGGGCTTTGAAGTAAAATGCTGACCTGCAAAAATGATACTGGAACTACTGGGTCTTTTTCTGGCTAAGTTCAGATGCTGAATTTGATTTAGCAAATATTTGTAAGTATCCTCAATAACTCCAGGATCAGGTCTCCGTCCCTAAATAACACTCTTTTTAGCATGACCTCTGATAGGAATGGGCCGGCAGGCCAGCTCAGTTATTTGAGGCCTGGTCAGCTAACATTGCTCATTAAAGAGAACTATGTGTTTGAAAACCCAGCATGCGTATAGTAGAGTTCATATTCTGTTACAAACCTTAAGGCATTTGCTCAGTGCTTGTGAAGAATTGGAAGGGGATCTGAACAGGTAGCCAGGGCTTTCTAAAGGAAGTGGTTTGGAGTTCATGCCAACAGTTGAACTAGCGCTTGATGGAGCCTGAATACCTGGCTGTGGAGGCTGGCGGGCACATGGCGGTCACCCTAAGGTGGCCACAGCTCTGAGCTGAGATGGTCAGGTGGGTGGGGATTAACAGCAAGTGAGAGCCAATCCCTAGTCCCATCCTGTTAGCATCTCAGACTCCCCAGCCCTTCATCTAAAACCTACTTCCTGCTCAGGCAGGACCCACATGGTAGGGAGGAGCCAAACACTCCAAATAATGATCGCAAGAATTATGAGTGTAAAAACTTAGAGATTTTTAAATGTGTCTTCAAATTATAAGTAGAATGATTATCCATTTTGTCCCAAAATAAACTCTTAGTGCTAACTTTTAAACCCCATACCCATGGAATGGCGTGGCATTTTTTGTATTGATGCCAGAAGTCAACATTCTAAACATAGTTTCACATTGTAAAGAAGGAAAGAGGAGGTTGTTGTGGATAGAGACACAGAACAAATATTTGAGAAAGACTTTGTTACCTTTGCTTCCACAGGAAGGCCAAAGAAAAGTATTTTGTCATCTTTAACAGACCACATTATGAAAAGAAATTTCTTTTAGTTCTTTTGTTGGATAGTTATTTTTTTAAATCAAACTGTGTTCTTTTTATGTTACCTGCATTACTGAAATAGGGTCTGTTTGGGCAGCAAAATATTGAAATTTGGGCCCATTTTGAAAATAGCAGAAGAAAGCAATTTCATTTTACAAAAGAGGCTGTGGGTAGTTATCCCTTAGATACTAAAAAGAATTCTTATCTGGAATATGTAATGCAACGATATTTCCATCATTTCTGTAGTTCATGGGAGTGATGTTGGGTACCTTTTTCAAATTTGTTTCTTTTGGAGGATGACTCCTTCTGACTCCAGTTGTAAACTATTCAGAAGGTCTCCCTAGTGGATACTTGCTGCTCTTTATACTTATTTTCAAAGTATTGGTACTTCCCTTTTACCTTGGCCTTCCATTTTAACCTTTTCATTAAAATATACATAGAGAAAAGTACACTGCTCGATGAATGGTCATGGCATGAGCTACCTGTACACCCCAAAAGACTACCTCGGGCCCCTTACCAGACAAGGCCTTTATTTGAAATACTAATTTTCTTGTAGAAAACACTAGAACCCATTAACAGTGATTTTATGGGGAATGGGGTGAATAGGGGATTCTTAGTTTTTCCTTTATATTGCGTATGAAATCATTTTTTTAACTTTTTAAAAATTATATTTATTTATTTTTTATGTTAGAGAAGAAAGGAGGAAGAAAGAGAGGGAGAGAAACATCCATTGGTTGCCTCTCAGAAGCCTCTAGCAGGGGACCCAGCCCACAACCCAGGTGTGTGTCCTGTCAGGGAATCGAATGGCCACCTTTCAATTCTCAGGCTGGTGCTCAACCCACTGAGCCATACCAGCCAGGGCACATTTGACTTCTTATTCTATGAACATATGTTCATAGTAAAACAAAAAGTTTTAAAAGAATATTCCGCCCTGGCTGGTGTAGCTCAGTGGATTGAGCACAGGTTTCGAACCGAAGTGTTGCAGATTCGATTCCCAGTAGGGTACATGCCTGGGTTGCAGGCCATGACCCCCAGCAACCGCACATTGATGTTTCTCTCTCTCTCTCTTTCTCTCTTTCTCCCTCCTTTCCCTCTCTAAAAACTAAATAATAAAATCTTTAAAATATATAATAATTTAAAAAAAGAAAGAAAAAAAAGAATATTCCCTTCCCTCAAGAAGGGGTGGGGGGCAGTGTTATTTTTAAACCTTTTTTTAAGTGGTTGTCTTAAAATATACATATTTTTTTAATTGGATTTTAGGTAGCTATTAAAATTGCTGTTTTTTTTCCCCATTATCTTACAGTCTTTTCATTGGGATATTTATTTATTTAATTTTTGAGGGGGAGAAACATGGATATACAAGTGATACATTGATCTGTTGCCTCTCATGCACCCCCGACTGGGGACCTGGCTTGCAACCCAGGCATGTATCCTGACTGGGAATTGAACCAGTGACCTTTTGGTTGGCAGGCAGGTGCTCAATCCACTGAGCCATACCAGCCAGGGCTAAAATTGCTTTTCAATGATTACACAGGAACCCTTTAAAATATTTTTACAAGTCTGTTCAGCGCCCTTATCCACAACCACCCCTCTTTGCTTCATTACAACTTTGAATCTGTTTATTTCTGGCATCAAGTGCACAAAATGCCACGTTATTCCAATAGTATGGAGCTTAAAAACTGGCACTAAGAAAGTCTATTTTGGAGCAAAATGGGTAATTATTCTACTTACAATTTGAAGAGACACTATAAAATGTCAAAGTTATTAATTAAAAACAACACGTGAGATTATTTTAATATAAAAGTGTGCTCATAATTTTTACATACCACCTGAAAGTCTTTTTTTCCTGATAATAAAAATAGCCCAAGCTCGTAAAAAAAAAGAAGTCAGAAATTAAATGGTGTTAGGTTTGCTTGTAGCTATTGAGGTTCTCTATGGAAGAACCAATCCTCTTTAGGTTTTGAGCCCTGGGCAGGATCCAGTGTTGGGCATTCTACTACTCTTCGATTCCCACCTGGCAAAAATGTAGTCATACAGGTGGTTTTGTTTTGCAAAGGTACTTCCTGACCAGACCATCCTTACAGCTCATCCAGCCCACACCCCACTTGTTCTACTTTGAGCTTTAGCTGCATCTTCCCACGTAACCATGCAAGCTGGCAGCACAGGCTCATCTGTGCCCTCATTTTCTATTCCAGGAAGATGACTATTCTGAGCTTTCAGGCAATGGAACCATGAGGTCTCTCTCTCTGTTTTATGATCTTGGTTTCATGTCTCTGGCCCCAGTTCAGACCCAAGTCCTGCTCTAATCTGTTCTTCCTCTTTGTCCTAGTCTCTTTCTCTGAACCTAGCTAGACTGTCCTTCTCCAGTTCTGACACTGACCTAATGGGGCCACAAAAGGCAAATAGTCCTCGGTGGCACACCACAATCCAGTCCTTCCTGTAGAAACTCATTAGCTGCTCTGGTATAGGTCCTGAGAACAGTGAGAGGATTCTCTCAGACTGCCATGACCAAGGTTAGCCCAAATGCCTTCTGAAGGAGCGTTGGGCTTTACAAGTGGTACATATGCACAGTGGTGGCCTGACAACTTACCTTTCTCATCAGGTCATTTTACTGTGGACATGTAATAAAAAAGCAAAATGATTAAATAGAATTTCAAACAAAATAAGAACTCATCTTAACACAGTGGAAAGCTAAAGAACACATCTCCGAAATACACGATGCTGTGAACTGTCGTGGAGGCCTGTGTCATGCTGAAACGATGCTTGGGTCTGGCATCTTTCCTTCTGGGGCAGTTGAAGAGGCTGTGCTGTGGGTGGAGCCACATCTGTGGGAGACTTCGATGGAAGTTTCTGATTAAGTGAAATTGAAGGCTTCCTTTCAAGTTGACATTTTTAGTGAAGAGGTGTCAGCATAAAATGTTGCTGGTGTCATTTGTAGAGACAGAAAGTGAAATGGTGGCTGGAGGCTGAAGCAGGAGGAGCGGGGAGTTAGTGTTTAATAGGGACGGAGTTTCAGTATGGGAAGATGAAAAGTTTCAGGAGATGATGGCCATTGGTGACCATCACTGGTGGCAGTTGCACAACAATTTGAATGTATTTAATGCCACTGACCTATACTCTTAAAAATGGTTAAGATGATAAAATTTATATTTTACCACACTTTAAAAAAAAGATAAAGAATGTTGCCACATTTAGACATTTTTCATTTTCTTAGTAGGGTTCCTTGGATCTTAGGTGCAGTTTGGGGAAGATGCAAGGGCATTGATCCTCTGCCTTTGTCCTTGTGGCTCAGGGAGGAGAGCATCCCTTTCACACAGTTGTGTTAACCCCTCCCTGCACAGCCCGGTTGACAGCACTTTCCATGTTCATCGATGTGCTGTTTTGTCATGGCATTCTTCGAGCAAAAGAAAGTGGTTTCTGTGAGTATTTTGTAATGGTGCAGGAAAGCACAAACCTCATTCCCCTATATACCCTCTCTCCCGTATAATCCGAGATTTCTGGCTCTGTTTATTGCTGCAGCCACGGTACCTAGAGCAGGGCTTGGATTTTCAATACAATTTTGGTGAATAAAAACCTGAATGGATTCTCAGTATGAAATGTAGGGGATGGTAGAATCTTTGGCCCAAAGGAAAGAATGGCCTGGACCTGGGACCACACCGGAACCAGCTGTTGTCATCTTTAAAGTTGAGGTATAATTAACACTTAGCCAAGTGTTCAGATTTTAAGTGAGCAGGTCCATATGTTTGACGACCAACGAAGGAGACATAGAACATTGACATCATCCCAGCAAGTTGCCTTAATCCCCTTCTCAGTGTCCCCCTCTTAACCACTTTCTGATTTCTGTCACCAGCAGTTCCCTTGGCCAGTTTCAGAATTTCATGCAATTGGAATCCTCTAGTATCATTCAATTTATGCTTGAAGAGATGTGTCTTTTTTTTTAAATATAGCCTTTGATTTATGTATATATTTTTTAAGATTTATTATTTTTAGAGAAAGTGGAAGAGAGGGAGAAAAACATTGATTTGTGAGAGAATCATTGATTGGTTGCCTCACACATGCCCCCAGCCAGGGACCTGACCTGCAATCCAGGCATGTGCCCTGACTGGGAATCGAATTGGTGACCTTTCTGTTTGCAGGACACCACCCTACCCACTGAGCCATACAAGTCAGGGCGAGATGTGTCTTAAATTAAATGTCACGAATATACAGGCTCCCCTGAGAGAGTAATGGTTGGGTTTTAAGAAGGAGGCTGTTTGGTACTAGAATGCTGAGTGTTCATTTCTTGTCACCCTGTAAAATTATCACGTTCCTTCTACACTGAAGTTTTGGAAGCAGCCCAGGCTTCCCAGGAAAGGGCTTACCGCCCCCATTGGCAGCTGCTCCTTTGAACAGACCAGCCATGAAGAGCATTCACTGTTTCCCTCACTCTCTCCTTTTATCCCTTGACCCATTTTACTGATGAGCAGGGCAGTGTTCTGTGCCCGTCACTGGTTTATTTTTTCTTTTCTTCTCTCTCTATCCTAAATGCAAGAACTTGTAGTTTATTGTTGAATTTTCCAAGTCAATAAATATGGCATCTGCAGAATTTCTTATTCCTGAAGGCCTGGTCGTCTTTAATCCTTGTGCCATGGAAGAGTGCTAATCTTTTTTCGTGTTTCACTTGAGAAAAAGCCTGGAGTGTTGGAGAAGGACCAGGGTAGTGCTTTGTCATAGAGTGAAGGGAGTCAGGGGATTGAGAAAGGGGTTGACTGAAGTGTGAGCTGTAGGGAGTCAGAGGAGGCAATTTCCAAGGGAGAGCTACTGGATTTCAGAGACGGGAAGCTGCTGGTTTGTCATCCCCGGTGTGATGGAGCAGGAAGTGCAGGGCAGGAATAAAGCAAGAAGGTGGCAGCAAATGCGGTATTGTAAGTGGTTATGTTGAAGGGAAAGAAGGTGGCAGGAGGCTTGTCCAAAAGAGGGTATGCATGTATTTATGGCCCATTGGAGGGGAATTTGTGCAAAAGGAAAGGTTGAAAATGTTGAAGAACAGGGTGCTTGAGCCAGGGAGAGGGGAGACAAAGAGGTGGGCAAGGGATTGGGGTGGCCCTTTGGAAGTGGCCATCTCATTTGTCTTCCCAGAGATAGATAAGAAAGCTGAATGAAGCATGGAGCAGGACAGAGATGTCTCAGTAGACATCAGAGCTGGGATTTGACCCTGAGTCATGGTGACTCCAGCATCCGGAGCATGTCTGGAGGTTGGCGTAGTCTTTGCAAAGAGGAGGGTTGTTTTGGAACCAATGGAAGTAGAAGAAGAGAAGGAAGGGAAGGTTCTAGGGTGATGGAGGGTGCAGTGTGGTCATGGCTGACCTGAATACTCTTAAGTCTGCTGAGGTCAGAGCCCAGAGCCCCTTGGGTAGAGCCCAGAGCACTTTTAAAAATTTTTTTATGTATTGAAATTAGAAAGAGAGAGAAAGGGGGGTGAGAAACTTTAATTAAAAAAATTGTTTATACTCACCCAAGGACTTCTTTCCCATTGCTTTTAGAGAGTGAGGAAGGGAGAGAGAGAAACATTGATGCAAGAGAGAAGCATCAATCAGTTGCCTCCTGTACGTGTCCACACTGGGGATCTTACACGTCCAGACCTGGGGGTTGCACACGCCCATGCCCAGACCAGGGATTGAACCAGAAATCTTTCTGGTTATGGGATGATGCTCCAACCAAGCCACACCGGCCAGATGTGAAAGGGGGGTTTTTTAAAGTTCAGTGCAGCTTGTCTGGGACCCAGAAGCATTGTCTTCGAGCAAGGGAGAGGCCCTGTGGACCAAGGGCACCAGGACACAGTCTATGAAGGGGAAGGCTCTGCAGCAAATAGGGCTGTTCCAGCTTTATTACTTGGCGTGGGAGTAGAGGGACCTGTGGGTGTCATGACAGTGCCAGGAACCCCCTCCAGAACCTGGAACAATTCCATTTCAAGCCCCCCAGATTCTGAATCACTAAGACATGGCAGGGAGATGGAAAATGTTCCTGAGGACATTAGGGACATCTTGGCAGCCAGTCCTCCACTTTCATCTGTCCCTCTGAGCACACAGAGGCACTTGGGAAGTATTGTGAGGGAGGGAATGTCTAGATATCCAGACATCATCTCCTTAGAGCCACCATGGAGTCCTCAGGAAAAAGTGGCCTTGGGTAAAGGGACCAGAAAGGTCATTTCAGCAAAGAAGAAAGATGAGGCTTGCAGATAGCCTCAGGAAGATGAGGTTTGGGGAAGGAGAAAGGATGGAATGAGGGTTGAGCCAGCAGGCCCTTAATTTCGGTCTTAGAGAATCCAGTTTCTGCCCCTCCTTGAATTACTTCACTCATCCTCCTCCTAAAGACCAAGAACATGATGCAGACCCAGGAATCCCTGGGAAGAATTTCCACTACAAGCCTGACCTTGGCAGCTGCATATTTTCACTTGAAACCTCCGTGGCCCTGGCTAGGTGCCTCAGTTGGTTAGAGCATCATCCCGATACACCAAGGTTGCAGGCTGGATCCCAAGTCAGGGCACATACAAGAACCAACCAATGAATGCAAAAATAAGTGGAACAACAAATTGATGTGTCCCCCCAAAAGAATCAATAAGTAAAATTTTTTACAAACTCAAGTGAACTGAGTTCTTCTGTACAGTATTACCCTACCGTTGTAATGTAGGCATGTCAGTGTCTTTGTAAGGAAATGTATACCAAGAGGTGGCCTGTGCATCTGTGGCTTCGGTGTCCATCCCATCAGCTCTCCAGGGCTCAGAACCGAGCAGAGGGCCTAACACCAGGGTCCCCACACGCGCCATATGTGGGTTCCCTGACTTGTTCCCCCAGTGGTAAACCAGGCCCTTGCCACACCAGCCTCCCACCTGCATTGCCACCATCTCTAAACTCCTCCTCTCTGACTCTATTTCTTCTTTCACTGGCACTAGGGCACCAGATTCTCCTTCTCCTGTGCCTTTCTGTCAGCTGGGCTGGGACAGATTAGGCACTGTAATATCTTGCTTTCTCCCTAGTTAAATGTGGCGTTTCTGTTTTTAAATCAAGGCATCTGAAGAACTGGCCTTTGCAAACATGGAAGGACTTTTAATAGGGATGTGAGAATCTACAAATATCTGTTTGTCTTGGAGCCCACTGCTTTTCTTGAAAATTGAACAGGGAACAAACCTTCCCATTTTGGTCAAGAGCCTTGTCCCAAGGATACTAGGAGAAAAATATATAAATCCCAGTGTGTAAGAGATGCTGATTTATTATGGATCTCTTCCTTTTCTATCGAACCTCAAAGTACAGTGGTTTTTTAAACTTTTAGCATTAACTTTGTTGAAGTTTATATAATACAAGAAAATCTTTTTAGTGAGTTTTAACATGTGTGCATATATGTTCATTTGTGTAACCACCACCATCAAGATATAGAACAGTTCCGTCTCCTCAGGAAGTGCCCCACCCCCAGCCTCTGCAGTCAGTCCTCTGCTGAGGCAACCATAGAGGTCAAGGCCTTGCATCTTAGCACTTATTGACTGGGCAATGGCTCCAGCTCCTCGGGTGCCCCAGGTCTGTCTGTGGCCATCAGACCTTGGCTTTGCCAGCTGCTTTTGCCAGTTGCCTCACGCATCCGGCCAGCTCTGGTGGAGTGACTGCTGAGAGCAAGCTGACAGCTCCTGTCCTGCAGTTCTTTTTGTAGGAGGAGCTCAGAGCACATTTGCTCTTGCTTAAGAAAACTGTGGGGCACAGGAGATGAGACATCTGGAGCTCTGCCAAGGGTGATGAGGGTGAGCATTCAAGTCACCCTGGACAGGCTGGCTTGAGCCTGTCCAGACCCAGACAAACCACCAAAGCTGGTTTGCCAGGGAAGAGGACAATATGGAATTTCCTAGCGTACGTCATGCATTGGGGCTGAAAGTTGATTTTACATTTATTTGGTGGTTTGTGGTTTGTGTTAATTATCTAGCCAGGGGAAATCTAGAGTGATCTTTACTTTCTCAAAATCATCTAAGTAGCTACCCCCTGAAAACTCATGGACAACACTCATGTGCTTAGTTGAGACTTGATAACTTTCTGTGGTCACATCTTACACATTCCAAGCCAATGACAGATTTTTTTTCTTTGAATATGAAATACTAAAGTTGGCCCAAATCTGGAGGAAGCTACCATGTTGGCCTTGGTGGGCTGGTAGCTCTGCCTCATCTTTGTGAGTCTGTGCCTCCTTGATCCTCAGCCTCGTCTTCCCCAGAGGATCCCCAACCCCACCCTGGCAGACCTGGCACAGTGGTGGACCCACAGGAGGCGGGCCCTGTGCCAGTCCCCTTAAAGGAGTCCTACCACAGAGCACCAGCATGAGTCCCTGCGGTTTGACTTGCAGACTGGAAAGCTTGTGAATCTTCCTAGAATTTACTATGACTTACTTCAAAAAGAATCTTCTTTATCCATTTGCTCACAAAACAACCATTCACTTTCAAGATTAGGGCTGTTTTTTTTAACAGCTTTTTTGAGGATATAATGTCCTCATTTTATACATGTCATACAGTTGACCCATTCCAAGTGCACCTTTCAGTGTTTTTGGTGTGTTCACAGAGCTGTGTATCCATCACATTTTATTTCAGAACGTTTTGACCACTCCAAAAGAAACCCCACACCCTCTGCCATCACCCTCCAGTTCTCCCAACTGTAGGCAACCTCTATCCTCTGTCTGTCCCTATGAATTTGACTATTCTGGACATTTCATATAAATGGAATCATAAGATATGTGGCCGTTCTCTCACTCAACATTATGTTTTCAGTGTTCATCCACGTCGTAGCAGGTACCAGTGCTGAACATCCACTGTATGGATAGACCACATTTTGAGTCCACTCATCCATTGACGGACATTTGGGTTGCTTCTGCTTGAGGGCTGTTTTTTTGGTGAGCCCATAGTAGACTCCCACTGTACTTCTTTGCTCAGTTTAGAGCAGGGGTTGTATTATCACTAGGGTGTTAAGCAGAATTTTTATAGATCATCCTGTTTGGCTACTTGGATTAGAGAGGTGGTTAGGTAATTGGGCTTGTCTGCCAGGATTTTCCCTAGAGCTGATTACAACAGAGAGGAAAACCCTTGTCTCAGGAGCCCTCTCCAGAAAGACTGCGTTGATGGACAGGCCTTGCTTTGGCCTGGGATAATGTAGGATTGTTGACTTTGTTCCAAAGGTTCAAATTTTTGATAGGGCTTTCTGCCTTTCCTAGTTTTCTTGGCCCTGAGGGAAAAGGAAGGGTGTTGCCCTAAAGTGGCCCTGTGGTTGATACCTAGCAACTTGGGCAACTTCAAGCACAGCTCCTAAAACAACGCCCTGTGTCCATGGACTGCACAGCAAGTGTTTACACTGTCACTCTTTAAAACCTTAGTAGAGTTTGAGGGTTGGTTAAGATGGGTCCCAAACAGTAATCTCTGCCCCCACAGCATTCTGAACTGGGTGCCTGACTCATCTGGGATCCAGAGTGCTCAGCAATTAAACGACCATGATTTGCTGAGAACTCACTGCTTCCAGGGAGGAGGTGTGCAAAGGCTGTGATGCTGCTTCCCAAAGGTCTCAGTGAAGACACCAAAGGCATTGAAATCTGTCTCCCCAAAAACCTGCTGTCCATATCCGAAACTCAGCCTAGGTGGAGAAGTTTGGTTGATCAGTGGTTAATTTTAGTTAAGAATATTTTTTAAACATTCACTTGGCATACCCATCATCCAATTCAACAGTAATTAATATTTTGCCACTTTCGTGCCAACTGAATTAAAATCCATAACATCATTTTGTCATTTCACCCCTGCATATTCAGTGTGCATCTCTTAAAGAACATGGACATCTTCTACATAACCACACTGCTATTCTCATATCTAACAAGAAAAAACACGTTCAGTTTTTGTGTGTGTGTGTGGGGGGGGGGGGGGATCTGTTCCTTTTTTGGGGGAAGGGAGGGTCACCTGTGTGGTAGAGTTGCAGAAATCTCCAAGAAAGTTGTTTCCAGCTGGAGGCTGTGATGTGCTGGTCTCCATCCTGCTTTTGGCAGGTGGACCTCTTGAACCTTTACAGTTGTGTTCCATGGAGCAAAAGAGCCCTTTACCCACGATAACTGGGGAGTCCCTCCTAGCCAGTGACCGCTAGGATATATTTTGGACAGAGATGACTCAAAAACTTAGGACTTGCCTATTTTGGTTAACCAGTCCATCTCCCAAGAGGGAGCTAGCCACTTAGGCAGCGTGAGGTCCCTGAGGTCACACTCATCGGAACATAGACAGTCCTGAGTGCCATTGGGGATGGGCGGCTGGAGCAGTGGCCATGGAAGGGGGTGCTGGTCACTGGAATGGCCCAGCTGTGTAGGTCAGATAGTCAAGCTGTTTACAAGACATTGGGCAAGACGGTGTCTTATTTTCTGAACGTGCATCCTAGTGAAAAGAAAACAGGCAACATGGGAAGTTCAGAGCTGCCAAGTCTGGGGGTATTTTCTTATTTGGTTGGTGTTTTTGTTTTGTTTTGTGTTTAGAACTAAGAACTCACATAAACACAGCACAGCAGCGGTGGCCTGTCCTTTCTCGACAGACCTCTCATACTGTTGTGATGTCCCTGTCCCTTGTTTTGCCATCCCTGACCAGAGAGACTTGTCTGGGTCAGCTCAGCTCTCAAAGATCGTGCATCCAGAGATCAGCTCTGTCCCCTGCTAAGTGACTAGTCTTCTCTAGCACTGATGGGAACACTTCTCCTTTTCTAAGATGTGAGTGGTACCTCAGCTTCTTCCTGACCTGTTGGGATCCACCAGGCCTCACGCAGGAATATTCCCATTTCTTGTCCCGGAGAGCTTCCATCCCTGACCCCTCAGAGCCCGTCGGGGTGCAGGCCGGATAAGGGCACCCAGTGCTGCCTGCGGGCTCACGGGAGGGCCCCCTCCCCCCGCCTTACAGATGTCACATGGGCAGTGTTCAGATGCTGCCTGAAAACAGAAGGGAGAAGAAAGCAGGTCCCTTGTCATTTCAACTTTCTTTTTACATTTTTTAAATTTTTCCCATCATCATTTATCTCCCCTAACCCTCTTCTACCTCCACCTCCCCACCCCCAACAGTCATCACACTGTTGTCCCTGCCCATGAGTTCTTTTTCCCTTTTTCTTTTTTGCTCGATCTCCCTACCCCTCCCACCCCCTCATTTCAACTCTTGAGTCATGCTGTGCAGAGGGACATGTCGGGGTCGTCCATTCCCCACCCCTTGGAGACCCGTGTATTCTAGAAAGACCAAACCTAAGGTGGTCCCAGAGCCATGGAGTTTCTGCAGTACCTCTGCCCGCTCCTTCCTCCCTACCCACCCTGTATGTCTGTTTTGAAGTCACCAAGGTCACAGTGATATTTCCAGCCTTGCAGACGTGCCCTCTAGAGCCCCTACCCCAGATGATCCTCCTCAGGCTGGCTGGTACCAAGAAGGGGAAGAGGCACAGCAGCTGACCTGTCATTACCCTGAGGGGCTGCCAGCCCATGGCTGGCCCCCAAAGGAGCCATTCTTGCTGGGCCTTCTTCGCCACTGGCCCAAGTTGGCAGCAGTTGGGCTGACAGGGCCTGTGTGCTTTGTGCAATGAAGAATGACGGTGTGAGGGAGACAGGAGACTGCCAGGGAGGAGTGGTGCTCAGAGGGCAGCTCAGAGGGACGGAGAGGAGAGAAAAAGCTGACCAAAGGCAGGTTGCTCTCTGGGGCTCAGGGGTGTCTTGCGTGAACAGTGAGGGGAACCTAGGTCTCTATCCTGCCAGCCCTTCCCAAGCCTCAGTTTCCTTGTCTGCAGTGTGGGGGTGACTGTGACACCTGGTACAGGGGATTATTGTGAAAGACAGTAATTGCTTCATGCAATTACTGAGGGCACTGCCATCCATGGGGGAAGGCACTAGTCTTCCTGTCTTTCCTGCCTCGCAGGTTAGGAGGTGGAAGAGGAAGTAAGTGTGTCATGATGGGGTCAGTGGGCTCAATGGGGGTTTTGGGGGAGGGGGATTGGCTGCCTTCCTGACACTGCTTTTCTCCCTACAGGTGTGAATGACAGAGGTGGTGCCATCCAGCGCCCTCAGCGAGGTCAGCCTGCGCCTCCTCTGCCACGATGACATAGACACTGTGAAGCATCTTTGTGGTGATTGGTTCCCCATTGAGTAAGTTGAGTGGCTCCCTCTGTCCCCAGCTGCAGATTGGAGGGGTGAGGGAGCAGATGGGGGTAGTACCCACAGATCCACTGAAGCTGGCAGGCTTGTGCAAAGGTGAGGATGACCTGGAGGTGCCATGGTGGCCCAGAGTCACCTTGCCTGTCAAAGGACCCCAGGCCTTGTTCCCTGATGGCCATCAGACCCTTTCCACCTCACTGTATCCCTTATGCAAAGAGTTCCCCAAAAGGGCTTCACTGAGAAACTTTAACTACAAAGGTGTTTGATACAGTGCTATTTATAAATCTGCAAAGTGAAAAGCAAATTAAGTTACTTACCAGTAAGGAATTGGTGACATATATTAGGGCATGTACATGCAGAAATGCCATATTACTCAGCCAGGAAAAAAATATCTGTCATCAAGATACATTTGACAAGAATTTTTTTTTACATGATAGTAAATGAAAAAAGACTAGAAAATAGTATGTACCACAATTCCACTTTCATTTGAAAACATGCACAAGATAAAAGCCTGTGATAAAAGCCTGTGATATATACCATCTAGCAGTGGTTTTTTGTATTTTGGGATGGGTAGATTATTAGTAGTTACAAGTTTGTTTCGTTTTGCTTGACTGTATTTCCTACTTTTTTTTTGTAATATGCACATTTTTGTTGAAAAATAGGTGCAAACTTTTAAAAATTAAAAATAAACAAAATCCTGCTAAACATCGTATGTCTATGAGTCTTAACCTCAGATTTTACCCACTGTGACCATGAGAGGAGCTTAGACAATGCTCCGGCCCCATAGGGCCTTCTGGTGGCTGCGCAGAGGCCTCTGCAGAACAGACCCGAGCAGAGCGCCTCTCTGCTGCATCTCCACACAGTGGAGGGTCTGACACCCTCTTCCAGCTCTTGGTCTCAGGAAAGGCATCTGGGCTAACTTGTTATGTCCCAAGTTAAGAAACAAACCCACAGACCCTTAAAGCTCCTAGTGCTCTTTCCCCTTACTAAGTGTCCTTATCTGGGGCTGAGTCATCTGCCTTTCATCACTGATGGGACTTTGCATGAAATGTTCTCTTCCCTGCTCCCCTCAGGCTACCAAAGGTCTTGAGTCTGAACTCTTCCAGCTGCCCCTCCAGACACTGCTCAAGGGGAAACAATGTCATGGAAGGTCCCCAGCCCCACCCCTTATCGCTACATCTTATAAAATCATTTTCCCATCAGAAATTCCCCATCTTGCCTGGATGGATTGCTGCTTTAAGAAGATGATTCACTGAGAATGATACACTTTGGTGGAGACTGAGTGGCAGGCTCCTTGTCAACCCTGGAGCAGTGGACAGAGTAGCCTCGAGTACCCTGTGGGTCCTCTGTCTGAAGCACAATGTTAATCGGACTTGGCCTTTGGCAGTTTCACCTGAATTTGTTCTCCTCAGGTACCCAGACTCATGGTATCGTGACATCACCTCCAACAAGAAGTTCTTTTCACTTGCCGCAACCTACAGGGGCACCATTGTAGGAATGATAGTAGCTGAAATAAAAAGTAGGACCAAGATACACAAGGAGGTAAGTATGTGCACTGAAGATGGGCCCGGGCCTCAGGGCAGAATCGTGCTGCCTGCTCTGTGGACCTTTTTCTCAGGAGCCTAGACTCACGCCCCGCTGGTTTCTTTCTCTGTGTATGTGATGCCGTCATATGCACATTAAGTAACAAGTCCCAACCGCAGCTTCTTACTAAGGACTGTCATTTTGAAGTTAGGAGGGGAATAAATGGTCCACTGAGAATCTGTAGTTGCAAGGGATGATTTGTGTTGATGGCAGTATCACAGAAACTGCTAATACTGCTGTGGTGTGCTGAAGGAAATGTTACGTTTCAGTTAGAGGTTAGTGAAAATAAAGATACAATTTTTTTTATTCAACGTCATAGACCCCTCCAAGATCTATCTAAGAACCCTAGTTTCGGGGAGTCTGTGGACCCCAGGTTAGCAAGTCCTGCTCTGAATGTAACGTGTGAGGTCATGGTCACAAACACATTGTTCATGTGATCGACTTGGGTCAAGATTCTGCCTAATGATTTTGGTCATCTTAACGACTGAGTAGCATCTCACATGGGTATTTACTCCAGAGGAGGAAAAAATCCACCAACTGGCAACTGCTTCTTTTTGTTTACCTTAAGGCTATTTCTTTAAAAATGCAGGAAGGATCTCTCTCTCTCTTTTTTAAAGACCAGACCCACTCAATTTTTTTCCCCTAATTTGTCCATTATTAGATTTTGGCAAAGTTGGTTTCTTTTTAGTAACTTTTCCTCCATCTTTTTAGTGCTAAGATACAGCACTCTGCCACTTTCTTAGGCCGTACTGAGAGGCTGGATGAATTGAACACTGGGAAGAGAAAGCAGGGCGTGTTAGACATCAGCTGGGAAATGAAGTGCCTGCCTTTCCTCCCTGACCCTTTCATGGGCTTCAAGTGACCAGAACAATAAGGATACTGCCTTCCCTGAGACTGAGTTTGCATGTATCTAGCTTAACTGTGGTGTGGAGTGCTAGAGCTGGGGCCAGGGCCAGGAGAGTAGGGAGTAGGGACAGGCCAACCCACTCCCAGCACACAGGAGCCACTCACGTAACCAGAGAGGCCAAGTCACCAAGTATCCTTTCCATGGGGTAGAATTCACTGAGCCGCCTTCTTTTTTGTGAGGCAGAAAAACATCAGAACCTCATGGTGGTTGAATTCACAACTTAGTCCAGAATTCTATCTCTAAAACCAGGAGACACATGTGTGGTAGCTGGCTGTGGCATGCTGCTCTGCCTGGTGTGGACGGTGGAGGAGCCACCCAGACTCCCCACTCTCTTTACTCCAAGACCACCTGGGGCAGTGCAGGACCCTTTAAAGTTTTCTCTTTTTTTTTTTAATAGTTTATTTTTTATTGTATTTTTTTCCATTACCATTTATCCCCCTTATTAATTAAACTTTTCAACTATGTGTTGAAACACTTTGTGTTCGTCTGGCTGTTTGGTCTCTTGATGTGTCAGCTGACACGTGCGAGCACCACATAGAGCCCGTACAGCATAGCCACTTCCTTTGTGCTGCCCGCCGTAGCTTCACTTGTCTGGCCCAGTGTCCTTCCTTGTATGGCCTACCACCCATTCCAAAGAGGAACAACTTTTTGTGAGTGTTCTTATTTTTAACAGTTTTTAGCAGAAAGGCCCATACCCTCTGGTTTCCATGGAGTAGGGGTGACTCTCCATATGCTCTGTTCTGTCCCTTCCTGCCCCGGTGTCCCCCCAGGTGTTGCGGATGGGAGAGTCAGCACATGAGATGTGTTCTGCGGTGGGACCGGGTACTTCAACTGACTTCATGTGGACCTGACTTTATTTCTGACTTTTTCTTTAGGATGGAGATATACTAGCCTCCAACTTCTCTGTTGACACACAAGTTGCATACATTCTAAGTCTGGGAGTAGTGAAGGAATTCAGAAAGCACGGCATAGGTAAGGGGCAGCCAAGCTCATGGTTTTTGGCACATACACCCCACCTACCCACATCTAGTCACTTCCCAAATCCGGATGATTCTTGCTGTTCAGTACCCCTCTGTCTCTCTCTCTACCCCTCCTCCGTTTTGCATCAGACCTTCATCCTCTCCTCTCAATAGGTCTCCTGCACTCCACCTCCCAAATTGACCTTCATTTCAGCCCATGACCTTTCCACACATTACCAGGTCTTTCTGCCATGGCCTCATTCCCAAGTCTGATGAGATCAAATTACTAACAACTTCCAAAGGTCCTCGTTACAGAATGGGCACCTCTTGACCACACCTGCTGCCTTACACACAGCTTTTGTCTGGTCATTAGGCATTTTTCATTAAGAGTACAGAAAACATACTTAAAGAAACAGTCCTAGCTGCCAGGTAGCAAATGCCTATCACATCTGGGGTGCCATACCATCCATATTATCTCCAAATTCCGCATACAGCCAGCAAATAGCAATCTTTATTGTAATCCAGGCTTGCCCGTTCCCCATTTTTGTGGCCTTAGGTTTAGACTTTTTGTTGTCTGAAAAGTTAGTGAGATTCCACTGGGTCCAGCCCTTGGGAGGAAACTATGCAGCCTGCGTCCATGGTCCTGGTCCAGTGGTATGCAGCTCACAGGCTCTGTCTGGGTGTGGGATTTTAGGGACTTTGACAGTAGCTGGTTATGGGAAGTCAGTCTTTGATGCAATGGCTGAGAGATCTGTAGGTGACTTCCTTGTCTGCCTCATGCTTCCTCCTCACCTCTCTGCCATGCTGACTGTTGCCCCTTTACCTGCAGGTTCTCTTTTACTTGAGAGTTTAAAGGATCACATATCCACCACCGCCCAGGACCACTGCAAAGCCATCTACCTGCATGTCCTCACCACCAACAACACAGCAATAAACTTCTATGAAAACAGAGACTTTAAGCAGCACCACTATCTCCCCTATTATTACTCCATCCGTGGGGTCCTCAAAGATGGCTTCACCTATGTCCTCTACATCAATGGCGGCCACCCTCCCTGGACCATCCTATATCCTTTCTTCTCAGGGGCAAGGGACTGGCTTCTTAGCAGGGCCTGTGAACCAGCTGGAGCTGTGGTCACTTTCAGATGACATTCACAAGGCCAAGCTCACAGGATGCATTTTTCCCCAATGAGATGGTATTGCGGGTAGGTCTGGTCTGCATGTATTTGGAAATGATGGTCTGGTTGCAGATATTGGGAAACCAGGCGTGGTTTAGCACTCAGTGTTTTTGGACTTCAGCTCAGCACAAGGGGTGAATTTTTCACCCTCCTGGTCCAAGATCCACTCATCCCTCTGTCCATTCATTCATCCAATAAGTATTGGTTGAAAGCCCCTGTTGCTGGTGTTGCAGAGGCTACAGCGATGAATAAAATAGACAAAAGCCCCTGTCCTCATGAGGCCTGTGTGCTGGCCTGGAAAAACGAAATGAAAGAGTTACTTGCTGCTTTGAACACTCGAATATGGGGTGTGGGGTACTCAGAGGTATGTCCCTTCCCTGCTCCCTCCTCTTTAACTCTGTTTAGCCCTTGACAAGTAGGAGGGAAGCTGGAAGACTTCTTAATAATCATAGAGTGTGGCCCAGAAAATACTGTGTTTGCATGTGTGTGTAATTGAATGAGTCTAGGATTTATCCATTTCATAGGGAAATAAACAGGAAAGAGAAAGGCGGTACAAGAACCCACAGGCCTCCACGCTCATGTGAAGATGGGTGGGTCTCTGTGCTATCTAAGGGTTAGCACTGTAGACCCCTCTGTGTCACAGGGACAAGCCCGCCCTCTGAGGATTAAGAGTAGGGGGAGGACCATGAACATTTGCGCTCTCTCTCTCTCTCTCTCTCCCTCTCTCTCTCCCTCTCTCTCTCTCTCTCTCTCTCTCTCTCTCTTTTTAAAAGCCTTTATTTATTTTTAGAGAGGAGAAAGAGAGGGAGAGAAACATCCATGTGTGGTTGCCTCTCATGTGCCCTCTACTAGGGACCTGGCCCAAAACCCAGGCATAAGTGCTGATTGGGAATCAACCAGTGACCCTTTGGTTCACAGGCCAGCATTCAGTCCACTGAGCCACACCAGCCAGGGCGAACATTTGCTCTTCTGCTATACCCCTCCCTGCAGCATCCAGTCCCTATCCTTCAGCCTTAGTCTGCGTATCTATATGCCTGAGGCCTTGCCTGGAAGGTCCTCTTGTACCTATGTGCAGCCCTTTATTATTTTGCACAGTGGAGGCCCCTCCATCTAAGAAGGTTTTCCAGCACTGCAGACACGGAACAGACTCTTGGCCTCTTGAGAATGGCATGCTGTCTGCACATAGTCCTGCAGGTTGCTCTTCGGGCCTCTGCTGGCAGTGCCACTCCAGGGGTGTGTGGGCAAGGCGAGTTGGCGTCTTCCTTAACAGAGCCCCACGGACTACATCCAGCACCTGGGCTCTGCTCTAGCAAACCTGAGCCCCTGCTCCATCCCACACAGGATTTACCGCCAGGCCCACAGCCTGCTCTGCAGCTTCCTGCCATGGTCAAGCATTTCCACCAAGGGGGGCATTGAGTATAGCCGGACCATGTGATGCCAGCCGGGCAGTCTCCAACAGGTCCCACCCCCCGGCGCCCTGTGGAGCCCACCTTCCTGGCCACCTGACCTCAGCTGTACTCTGTAGAGGAGCTGGCCCGTTGCCTGCCCCAGCTGCAGGCCCGGTGCTACATGGGCTCAGGAGCAGAGCGTTGTGGGGCAGGTGTGCCCGGTCTCCAACAGGTATGCCAGAACAGGTGGTGGGGAAGAGGGGAGCAGAACTGAGTGGGATGATGGTCCTGAGAAATGGAGGGCCTGGTGCTTTCAACATTAAAGACAGAAGGCTCTGGATTGGCACTTGCTGCACCAAGGGCCGAGGTAGTTCCTGACCCACTCACGGGAACTTGGAGGAAAGCAGAGTCCTTGAGCCCTTGGCAGAACTTTATTTTTTCACTTCCTGAATGACTTTTTAAAAAATAATGCATTCACATGGTTCAAAAAGGGAAAAGGTACTAAAAGATCAAACCCCCATCTCCCCACCTGTCCATAGCCACTTGTTACCCTCCCAAGGGGTGTCTGGAGCTGCTGTGTCTCAGGCATGCTTCCATAGATCCTGCTTAGATGTCAGCTTTAACACCAGCAACATCATCAGCTTACAGCGAAGCTTCCTGAGGTGGGCACCTTGTAAATGAGAGCTCTGCTCAGACGTGGCCACTTCTAACTACCATGAATGCTACAGGGAGCCTATCTCTCTCAGACCTCAGAGAACATAGGAGCTGGACAGGGTCATTGAGCCTCCTTGTGCATGGACATGCCCTAGAGCAGATTGGTGATTCTATGTGTGCTCCATGGCCACCTGGGCTGGCATGCCCAGTGCCTTGATTTGTGCTGGGGCTGAGGACCCCAGGGGTCACTAGAAGGTATTCTGGGGGGCACCCAGGACCATCTGTGGGTTCCTAGGCCAGGCATAGGGTGAGACATAGCATTTCTGCAGAGGCATTCACCCCTGCCCCTCTCTTCTCTTTCCTGCAGGCTCTTCCAGCCCTCCTTCCTGCTCTGGAAACCTCTGCCCGTGCCCTGGTGTGGCTCCCATGTGAGTGCACCAGCCCCACAAGTTGGCCGTAGTGTTCACTGTGGTCAGTTTCTTCTGCTGCCTTGGAAGTAAAGGGGCAGGAGGGGGCTTCCTTCCCTGCACTATTCACCGGACTCTTCCCCTGTACTGCCTGTTTCTTCCAACTCCTTCCTCCAAAGCCAGAATGAACTTCTTGGATGGAGGAACCCAAGTGTTGTAGATAGACTTGACCCTAGAGACACAGGAGCCTCAGAACAATGAAGGGGTGAAATAAACCCTTGTCCAGAACCAGCCCACAAAAGCCTGGGGGGCAGGGAGCAGCCCCTACCTCCCCAGGGCTGGCAAGTGGTGAGCAGAGTGAGGGAGGCTTTTCACCCAAGCACAGAGCTCTTGAGGATTAGTTCCCTGACATGGTCATCAGACAATGAGAAAGTTTCTAACTCCTCTGCTGCCAGTCCTGCTCTTCGAGAGAGTGAGGAATTACCCATCACATGCTGGATGTGCCATTCAGCTGAACTGCTGCAGGGAGCCAGGCTGAGGACAGGTGCTGGTGAGTGTCCCAGGAGTCGTCCCCTCCAGCCCTTCAGTCCCATGAGATTTGGTTCCAAGGCCTAGCCAGATGCAGACAAGAAGAAGCTGAGTGTGGTGTTGGTCAGGTAGGACCTGGCCTTTGGGACTGGAGGCAGTCACGTGCCTTGTGGTCCCTCAGCTTCTGGGGGCAGAGACAGGAGAGGCTGTGTCAGTGCCAGGAAGTATGTGTGGACATCACTCGCTTCTGGCATTCCCCTCCACTTCATCCCCCAAAGCTGCCTGCTCCCTGCCCTGACCTCTGGAGGAGAGGGGGTTGGCGGAGCCATGCCCAGCATTGCTGCAGTGTCATGGAGCCATCACCACAGTGCACCAGCCTGAGCGGGAGGAGAAGGAAGAACCAGGCGAGGGGGCCTCGGACTGGCACCTTTCCTTACCTTGGAATTCCCAGCCCAGGGGCCCTTCTGGCTTTATGGTGAAGGAAAGGCGTTCCTTGTGATGAAGGGGAGCCTGGGCAGGAAAAATCACCCCTCCTTCCTCAGCCACTTCACAGTTGCTGGCTGGTCCTTACTCTGCCCTGACATTAGCTTCGAGCTGAGGCCCCGCTCAGTGTCCTCTCTAATCTGAATCAACGGTTATCATGTGGTTTTTATTTCTGCCTCTTGGAGAAAGGGAAGAGTCTTCCTGAAGATTCTGCCTTGGACATTCATAATTGAGCCAAGGCGTTGTCCTCCCCCTTCTTCCTTGCCCCCAATCACAGCAGTGTCCAGCCCAGTGTTGAACAGATTGTAGTGTTTTGTCTCATTACAAATAAATAGATTTTAATTGGTCACATCCTGTCTTGCATTTTGGGCCATTCCTGTGGGGATTTGCCCCCTTGCTGGGGCAGTGGCTTTGGGCTACCCAGGAACTGCTTGTCGCTATCAAGTCCCAAGGATGGCTTCTAGCTAAAAGGGCCAATTGTTTTGTATAATTAACCTGCTAAATAATGCAGTCTTACGGAAGTTCAGGAGGTGAAAGGCACAACTGGGTTCTTTTTCTGAACTCAGCAGGTCCTCAGCTGCTGCCCCCATTTGTTCAGGAGTCTTCTTGGCCAACTTTAGGCCTTGAGCTGGGGCCTGGTCCTCTGGGGGGTGCTATCCTGGCTTAGAGAAGGCTCACTAGGTGACTCAGTGTAGCAGTCAGGTAGGCACCCTGGGCCAGTGCACATTTCCACAGGACACCCTACCATGGGGGACCCCTGGGCTAGGGCAGCCCATAATGGGGGCCTGAGTCTGGGCTAAGCCTGGTACCACATGCTCCCACCAACCTCCTGTTAAAGCTTCTGGCCACCCTGAGGGCAAGGGGGTGGGAGTTGTTCTCACCCCAATAGGCAGATGAAAAAAACTAGTTCAAGGGCAGGAAGTTTCCCAGGAGCCACACAGCTCCTAAATGGCCCCTCCAAAGCCCAGGTGTGTAATGCTCCCTGAGGGCAGAGCACCAGCCACCCAGACAGCCTGCTCCAGAACAGTGCCTGAGGCACCTGCAGAGCTGGGTATGGGGGAGCCCATGGGGTTGTGTGGGGACTGGAGGTATTAAATGGAGTGAGGTCAGTGAGCTGGCCTGGACTCGAGTACCTAGCAGTGTCTTGGTGCTGAGTTATACCATTACTTATTGAAACATCAGTCTGCTTTCACCTTGTCAGTGGGTCAGCTTCAGGGTTAAGGGGTGACTGCTTGGGGCCCTTGTTTGGCTGTATGGCCAGTTATCAACTTGAGGTGGGTAGTGGAAGGGGTTCTGGTGAGCTTTGCCCTCCCAGCCCATTGGGCTTCAAGGGCAGGCTCCCAAGGGCTGAGACTGACTCCTGGTGGCCCCGTTCCAAACCTACTGGCCGTTCAGGGAATGGAGTGAGAGTGCCGGGGTTGATCAGTGTGTATTTCCACACTGTCTGCTTGTTTGAGGCTTTGGGTGCTCCTTTACAGCAGCTCCCTGTCCCCAGCATGCCATGGCCATGGCTTTTCTGCTTCTCAGCCTTTTGCGGGTGCTTTTCAAGAAAGCTTTGGGAAGTTTAGGGAAGAACTCTTTGGAGGCCAACTCAGTCAGTTTTCTTTGGAGCTGCCATGTTGCTGTAGCAAATGTCCTTCCTTAGGGAAAGACCCGGCTTGTGGCTCACTTGCCCTCCATGTTTCAGGGAGGGTGGCTCAACAGGCTGAAGGGTCTACTCAGGTGGCCTGGAGCTCAGCCGTGACCTCCCCTAGGTGGGCTGGTTTCCTACCATGTAAGGGCTTCTTATATGAACACTGACTTCACACACATACAAACATACACACGAAGCTACCAGGCCTCCTCTATGCCAGAAGTGATGCCATGTCACTTCCATCACATTCTATTGGTAAAGCAAGAGACAGAGCCAGTCCCAAATGAAGGGCGGGGAGTTCTACATAGGGAGTTCTACATAGGACCATGACATGGCCCAGCGGAGGCCACCGTAGTCTGGGCATCCTGAGACTCAAACCCTGTGCTCTTCTCTGAGCCACAGATAATCAAAAAGTAGGCTGGGAGGGAGATGTAACTGTCTCCAAGGACTGAGTATTAGGGCTTCTGGCATGTTCTCACTTCTGCCTGCCACCTGCCTGCTACCTGGCACGGCTCCCTAATGTCTGTCTTGAGCAGTGGTCCCTCAGGTCCCCCAATCTCAGCCTTCTGGGGGAGTGAGTGTTGGGGTGGTGGGAGAAGGCAGCTGCCCTTTCTGACACCCCATGAGGCTCACCTCATGGACCAGCTGGGTGGCTGTGTCCCTCACACACCTGCCCCAGACACAGCTGGAATACTCAAACACCTGCTTTCTCATGGCTGCTCTCTAGCTACTGCAGTCTGACTCCCACTGACAAGGGCCACACCCCTACTAATAACCTGAACACAGCTCAGGGACCAAAGTCTCCAGAATTTGCTGCCCCAGGGACCTATGCAATGTTCAGGGTGGAACCAGATTACAGGAGCAGGGAAGGGGCCTAAAGTAGTATTCCCCTGAGTCTGGGAGGAACCCAGCTGTCCTGGTGTCCAGAGTGTCATTGACACTATCATGTGGGTCTGGCAGGAGCCCCCAAAAGGGGCAGCTCAGCCCTAACCCACCCCAGGCTGCCAGGACTGGAAGTCAGCCAGACAGTGAGGGTCATCGAAGCCAGTATCTGTGCTCCCATCCTCCCCTGGCAGGCCTGAGGCCCCAGTGACATATATCAGGCATGTGCTGCCCCCAGGGGACATTGGACTCTATTGAGACACTTTTGGTTGCCACAATTGGGCAAAGGGAGCTAGACGAATATAGTGGGTAAATGCTACTAAACATGCTACAGCACACATGATAGCCCCCACCACAGAGAATAATCTGGTCTCAAATATCAACAGGACCAAGGACACAGAAACTTGCCCTCAGAAACACGGGTGCCAAGGGACTGTTTCCCTAATTGAACTGGCTTGATGGCCAAAGGACAGAGATGCATGCAGGCTTTGGCTTTTATTGAGATTAGACCTGTGGGCTCCTGTACCTCTTGAGAGCTCCACTCTGCTCAGCCTGGCCTCCCAAGTAAAGTGGTTGACTCGAGTTGGAGCAGGCTGCAAGGGCATGCCCAGGCTTCTGGTTTTTCTGTCCCTCCTTCAGGGCCTCCCCCTCCCTCCCCTTGAGTTTTCCTGAGGCTGGCCCAGGCTCTGGTGCTGGGCAGCTGCAGGTGTCTCAGTCTGGAGGGGCTACTGGTGGGGGGGAGCCCTCCCTCTCTAGACCTGCCTCCTCCACCACTTCCTGGGTCATTTTTCACCTCCTGTCCTGAGCTATGAGAACCAGCCCTGGCCCTGGGATCCCTGTGGCCTCTCCATAGGCCCAGAGCGGGTTCTCTTGCACAGTGGACATTTAGACTCCTCTGATGCTTCCCAGGACCTCTTGGGCCTGAACGCCAAGCCTTCAGAGGTACCAGGCTGGGAGAGGGCATCCTTGGCTAGATCCATGCTGGAACTGGAAGCTGAAGAAAGAGGGGAGAGAGGAGTCACACAGAATGACCCGGGGGAGGTTGCCAGCCTATCTTATCCTATGACTCCCTCCCCGAACCCAGCATCCTTCAAAACAGGAGTGGAGGGGGTGGGTGTCTAAAGATAATCCATGAGGGAGGGAGATGGAAGGGGGAAATGTGGTTCAAGTTGGAAGGATCCTCATCTTACCCAAACCCTTCATTTTACAAATGGGGAAACCGAAGCCCAGCCCAGAAGTGGGGGAGCTTGTCAATTGTAGAGATGGGACAGAAACCCAGAAGGCTTGGGAGTGGAGAAGGGCCCATCTGGGTCCATCTGAGTCTCCAATCCGACCCTTCCCTGGTTCTTACCGTCCTGCTTCACCTGGACAGGTGCTCACCTGTATTTCCCAGGCTGTCCCTGGGCAGTTGAGCTTCCAGAATGGCTGAGTGGTGGCTGTTATCTGGGTTCAGAGTCCCATGTGGCAGGTCTAGGGGCCAGGCCATGCCCTCAGGCCATAGGAGGCAGCCCTCTGCCAGGAGCCGGCCCAGCCAGTGACTCTCACACTGGCCAGCAGGCTGCACGTGGCTTGGCAGGTAGAGTGGCAGGCCCCTGAGGTGGCGCAGCCGGAAGTTCTTGGGCTTGCTTCCCTGGGCACTGGGGCACTGCTGCTGCTGGGCCCCCAGCCCTCCCTCGTAGATGTTGGATGGTGTGTCAGGGTGACTGGGGAGTCCTCGGGCCCAGCTTACTGCATCTGTGGAGGGGAAAGCAGGAGGGTGGTGGCCAGCGGGCCACAGCAGTCATAAGGGGAAAACAGCCCCATGTTCATGTGATGGTTTCCACACTGGCTTGCCGACCCTCAGCTTACCTGCCTGTCAGTGGGGCTAAATGTCCTGACCCTGGCCTCCCCTGACCCAACATATTACTCCTCTTTCCTCTCCTGGCCAACAGGGAGGTCTGAGAAGCCTTAGCCTTGGCACCAAATTCAGGATTTCAAGCCCTTTTGGCCCCTTTTTACCCCCTACTCTGGAAAGAGTATTCTGGTGTCAGTAGAGAAATTGCACAGTGGGTGCAGAATCACACAGTCCAGTCACATGTCATGGACCAGTGACCATTCCTTTCTCCTAAGCATGCATGTCTCTGAGGCCACCCTGGTGGCTTTTGTCCCAGGTCAGGATAAGAGGACATTTTTCTTCCTGCCACTTCTCCCCACAGCCCTGCACCTTCTCTTATGCGCAGCTCAGAGAACGCACAGACCAAGGCTTCCATTGAGAGCCTGTGTGATGGGGGAGGAGTGGCCCAGCCTTCTGTGCAGCAGGGCTTTGCTCTCCCCTGCTTAGGGAGTAGGTCTGCAGGTTTCCCTTGGCAACCAGCTATGTGATGTCACAGGGAAGACTTCCAGCCTTCCTGGACCCCCTGAGTTTGGGGTAGGATGATGCCCAGGACAGGGACAGGGTGGGAGGAGGGCAAGGGAAGGGGGCAGAACCCTAGAGGTAGTTCTTGGTCTCTCTGGCTTGTGACAGGCCACACAAAACACTGAGCTCTTGGAGGCTGTCACTCAGTTTCCTCACATGTGGGTGGGAAATGAGGATTAGCAGTACAGACTTAGTGAAACCTGGGTCAGTGCTTTGAGCGTGCCGATAAGGTGGTTCTGGTTGACTGGGGGAGTCACAACTTTTTTTAAGAGAGGAGAAGGGAGGGAGAAAGGGAAAGAAACATTGATGTGAGGGAGAAACACTGATCATATACATCCCAACCAGGGACCAAATCTACAACCCAGGCACGTGTCCTGACCAGGAATTGAACCATGCTTTTTGCTTTGCAGGACAACACCCAACCGACTGAGCCACATTGGTTGGGGCACCACACAACTTTTTAATTGTCCATTTTCCCATAAGTAAATGATGTGGTATTGTATGGCTCTTGCCAAGTGTGAAGAAAGATTATGAAGGAACTGGAGCCTTCATATACTGCTGGTGGGAATGTTAAATAGCTCCACTACATTGGGAAACAATTTCTTGAAAAGTTAAAATTTCAAACAAAAGGCATCCAGATTGGAAAGGAAGAAGTAAAACTTTAATTATTTGCAGATGACATGATAACTATATAGAGAGAATCCTAAAGAGCCCATGAAAACGATATCCTGGCCAGATAACTCAAGTTGGTTAGAGCATCATCCCAATATGCCAAGGTTGCAGGTTTAGTCTCTGGTCATGGCACATACAAGAACCAACGAATGAATAGATAAGTAAGTGGAACAACAAATTGATGTTTCTCTCTCTGTCCCTTGTCTCCCCCCTTCCCCTTTCTCTCTAAAATTAATTTTAAAAGATATCAGAACTGATAAATTAATTCAATCAAGTATCACGATGCAAAATTAATATTCAGAAATCAGTCACGTTTTTGCTTTGGCTGGGTGGTTCAGTTGGTTGGAGTGTTGTCCTATGAACCAAAAAGGTTGTGGGTTTGTTTCTCAGTCAGCCCACATACCTTGGTTGCAGGTTTGATCCCTGGTCAGGGTACATACAGGAGACAACTGGTGGATGTTTCTTTCTCATGTCCATGTTTCTCTCTCTCATCCTCCCTTCCTTCCCCTCTAAAATCAATAAAAACATATCCAATAATGAACTATCAGAAAGAGAAATTAAGGAAACAGTGCCATTTACAATTGCATCAAAAATATAAAATATTTAGAAATGAATTCAAGGATGTAAAAGAATTGTACTCAGAAAATAAGACACTGAAGAAAGAAATTTAAGAAGATACAAATAAATGGGAGCATATACCATGCTCCTGGATAGGAAGAATTTAACATAGTTAAAATGTCCATACTATTCAAATCAATATACAGTTTTAGTGCAATTCCTATCAAAATACCAATGGCATTTTTTCACAGAACTAGCCAAATAATCCTAAAATTTATATGGAACCATAAAAGACTTGGAATAGCCAAAGCAATCTTAAGAAGAACAAAGTTGGGTGGTGCTCGCTGTGGAGCACACCCGTACCTTTCCCTCTTTTTCCCCAGGGACATTACCTTTCCCTTTCTTCTCCTAAGTTCCCAGGGCCCTTCTTTTGACTCTGTAATTTGTTTCCTGAGCCCATGCAGCCCATCTGGCTCGCTTTTTCTACCCCTGTGACTTTCAAAATAAAGTTGCTTATAAAAAATAAAAAGAAGGACAAAGTTGAAGATACTGTGCTACCTGTGATAATCAAGCTATACTACAAGTGTACAATAATCAAAACAACATTGTATTGGCATAAAAGCAGACATAGATCAATGGAACAGAACAGAAAGCCCAGAAATAAACCCACACCTATATGGTCAATTAATCTATGACAAAAGAGGCAAGAATATACAATGGGGTACAATCTTCAGTAAATGGTGTTGGGAAAAATGGACAGATACATGCAAAAAAAAAACTAGACCACTTTCTTACACTATACATAAGGATAAACTCAAAAATGGATTGAAATGGATTAAGCGTAAGACTTGAAACCATAAAACTCCTAGAAGAAAATAGGCAGTAAACTCTATGACATTGCTCTCAGCAATATTTTTTTGGACTGTCTCCTTGGGCAAGGGAAATAAAGGGAAAAAATTAGTCTACATCAAACTAAAAAATTTGCACAGCAAAGGAAACCATCAACAAAAAACCTACTGAGTGGGAGAAGACACTAATGATACATGAATAAAGGGTTAATATCCACAATGTATGAAAAACTCATAATATCACCAAAAAGACACACAATCTGATTTTAAAAAGGTCAGAGGACCTGAAAAGATATTCCTCCAAACAGGACATACCGATGGCCATGTTTGGGGATGTCTTTTTTATAGGCATAAAAAAAGATATTCAACATCACTGAACATAAGAGAAATGCAAATTAAAACTACAATGGGATTATCGCTTCACAGCTGTCAAAATGGCTATTATCAATAAATCAACAAGTGTTGAAGATGTGGACAAAAGGGAACCTTTGTGCACTGTTGGTGGCATTACAAATTGGTATTGCCACTATGGAAATGGTATAAAGTCCTCAAAAAATTGAAAATAGAACTATCATATGACCCAGCAATTCCACTTCTGGAATTCCACTTCTATTTATACAAAGACATCCAAACACTAATTTGAAAAGATTATATATATATATCTATATATATATATATCCATCCCTATGTTCATTGCAGCATTATTTACAATAGCCAAAATATGGAAGCAACCTAAGTGGGACATACATAATGGGATATTACTTGGCCATAAAAAAATATAACCTTACCATATGCAATAACATGGGTGGACCAAGAGGTTATTCTGCCATGTGAATTAAGTCAGAGAAAGACAAATACCATATAATGTCACTAATATGTGGAATCTAAAACACAAAATAAGTGAACAAATAAAACAGAAACTCATAGATACAGAGAACAAACTGATAATTACCAGATGGGGAATTGGGATTTGGTGAAAAAGGTGAAGGGCTACCCATGCCAGGTGGCTTAGTAGGTTGGAGTATCGTCCCATGCACCAAAAGGTTACAGGTTTGATTCCCAGTCACAGCACATGTCTGGATTATGGTTTTGATTCCCAGTCAGGGCACATGCAGAGGCAGCAGATTGATGTTTCTCCCAACATAGGTGTTTCTCTATCTCTTCTCCTCTCTCTAAAACAGGGGTGTCAAACTTATTTCACTGGGGGCCACATCAGCCTCATGGTGGCCTTCAAAGGACCGAATGTAATTTCAACTTCCTAACAGTTAAGGAGTAGTTACATTTATACAATCCTAAAATTATTTTGGCCCTTTGAGGGCCACCATGAGGCTGATTATGGCCCCCCATGAGAACGAGTTTGACACCCCTGCTAAAATCAATAAAAGCATCATCAGGTGAAGAGCTTAAGTACAAATTGGCAGTTATGAAATAGTTATGCGGGCCCTAGCCAGGTAGCTCAGTTGATTAGAGCATCATCCCAACATGACAAGGTTGTAGGTTCAATCCCCAGTCAGGTCAAATTCACATACAAGAATCAACCAATGAATGAAGAATCAACCAATGAATGTGCATAAATAAATGGAACAACAAATCAATGTTGCTCTCTTTCCTCTTTCTCTCTCTCTCGCCCTTCCTTTCTCTAAAATCAATAAAAATTTAAAAAACAGTCATAAAGATGTAACATACAGCATAGGGAGTATAAGTCAATAATATTGTAATATCTATGTATGGTGTCAGGTGGATCCTAGACTTATTGGGGGGATTACTTAAAAGTCATATCATGTCTAATCACTATGCTGTACACCTGAAACATAATATTGAATGTCAAACATAATTGAAAAAAATTTTAAATTGTTTTCAATTCTCTCTATTCACAGATGACATGATCTTACACAGAGAAAAAATTAGTTCACACTCAACATTGTTTGAGCTAATAAAACTATTAGAGCTAATAAAGTTCAGCAAAGTTGGATATAAGATCAACATAAAAGTTAGTTGTATTTATAAACACTAGCACAGAACAAAATAAAATGGGAATAAATTTCACCAAGGGGTTTCAAGACAACACTGAAAACTATGAAATAGGTACTAAAAACAAATAAAGAAGACAAGTAAATGGAAAAATATGACTGTTTATGGGTTGAAGACATAATATTGTTAAGGCAGCAGTATTCCCTAAAGTGACCTACAGATACTTTGAAAATCCCAATGGCCTTTTACACAGAAACTGGAAAGCTGATTCTAAAATTCATGTGGAATTACAAGGGAACCCAAATAAGCAAAAAAAAATTTTAAAAAGAAAAATTTAACCAAAATAGTGTGGAACTGACATGATAAGTATCTCAATCAATGAAGTAGAATAGAGAGATCAGAAATAAACCTATATATCTGTGGTCAATTGATTTTCAACAAGAATGCCAAGACTATTCAATGGGGAAAGAATTTCTTCAAATGGTGCTGGAGCAACTGGATAGCCACATGCAAGAGAATGACAGTTGACCTCTACCTCACACCATATACAAAAAATTAACTCAAATTGCATCAAAAGACACGAATGTAAGAGCTAAAAGTATAAAACTCTTAAAAGTAAACATAAGAATGAATCTTTATGATTTTGGATTTGGAAGTGAATTATTAGATATGACAACAAAACCATAAGTAACAAAATAAAAAATAGATAAATTGGACTTTATCAAAACTTCAAACTTTGCTGCTGCAAAAGGCAGTATCAAGAAGTAAAAGTGTACAGAATGTGATATTTGCAAACCAAATATCTGATAAAAGTGTACTATTCAGAATATATAAGGAATTCTTACAACTCAACAACAAAAAGATAACCCAATTTAAAAATGGCAAAGAAGTTGAACAGACATCTCTCCAGAGATACACAAACTGTCAACAAAAACAAAAGATGCCCAGTGAAGATGCTCATTCGTCATTAGGGAAATGCAAATTTAAACCACAACGTGATACTACTTCACATCCATAAGGATGGATATAATTTTTTAAAAATTGACAAATGTTAATGAGAATGTGGAGAAATTGGAACCTTGCTACACTACTGGTGGGAATGTAAAATGGTAGAACCAATAATGTATGAAAGTTCAAGTTGGTACACAACCTTTTGTGCTCTTGGCATTGTCAGGCTTTTTGCTGTTGTTTTAGCTGCCCTAATAACTGCCTAGCAATATGTCATTGTGGTTTAATATGCATTTTCCTAATGACTAATAACCTTGAGCATCTTTTTCTTATTATTTGCCATATATCTTCTTTAAAGTATCTGTTTGGTCCACTTTCTAATTGGATTTAGTTTTCAGAGTTTGTTATGTATTCTGGATATGTCTTTTCATTGGCTGTGTTTTGTGAATATTTTCTTCTAGACAGATTATCCTTTAATTTTCTTAAAAATATCTTGAAGTTTTTTTAAAGGCTTGTTTTTTTAAAAAAGATTTTATTTATTTTTAGACAGAGAGGAAGGGAGAAAGAAACATTAAAGTGTAGGTCGCCTCTCCTGTCCCCATCACCTGGGACCTGGCCAGCAACCCAGGCATGTGCCCTGACTGAGATCCGAACCTGCTACCCTTTGGTTTGCAGGTGGGTGCTCAATCAACTGAGCTACACAAGCCAGGGAAAAGAAGTTTTAATTTTTTTTTATTAAGTCCATTTATGAAAACATTTTTTAAGGATTGCACTTTTGGTGTATTTAAGAAATCTTGCTTTACCCTGTCATAAAGCTTTTTCCCATTTTCTGGAAGAGGCTTTTCTTCTAGAAAAGATAGTTTTAGTGGTTTTTTTTTTTTTAACTTAAGGGCCCTTGTTATAAACAGCAGTTTCTCGTGTTGTGACAATTTTAGGTTTTATATTTTGGTTGCGTGGAGGTTCATTTATTTGGATTTCCAATTGTTTCAAGTAATTTATTGAAAAACTATTCTTTCTCCACTGAAGTGCTTTGTCACCTTTATCGTGCTGACCATATATATATATATATATATATATATATATATATATATATATGGTCATATTTGGGGACTTTCTTTAGGGTCCACTCATTTGTTTATTTTACTTCGCCAACATCAATAAAGAGGTGGAGAAAATCACAGCGGCTCGCAGTCCCTCCTCTTCCCCCGCCCTTCCAAACTCAGCTCGCTTCGTCTCCCAGCTCTTTTTTCTTTGTGGCCTGCCCTACACCGCAGCAGCCCTGGGGAAGGGGTCCCAGATGAGCCCCCAGGAGATCTGGCCGCACTTCGGGTTTCCTCCTTACCCTGGAGCCTTCCGGTTTCTCAACCGAGCTCACAATCTCTTCCTCCATCAAAAGAGGACACGGTTACCAGGACAACCGCTAGCATCCAGGACGATTTCCGGCCTGTCGTGAAGAACGAGCCGGGTGCGCGTGCTCGGGTCCAGGCCCTGACACCCTCTCGCGGTACGGTGGTTAGCTGTACCGTCTGCTGTGCGGCGTACCGCCTCTTAATGCTGCAGCGTTTTTCCTGGGGTTTCTGACGCCAGCACAGCTAGCACTTTACACGTGGCGGGTAGGACGCTACTGAGCTAGGGAAACCCAGCTTCGTGACATTATGGTACATTCTTTCTAGAGGAGTGGAGGAGGAAATGGGAAGCAGCTTGTAGAGCACGTAGCACAGTGTCAGGCACATTTTAGGTGTTCAGAACGTGTCAGCCAGTGTCAAGTATCTGCAAAACGTTGAAAGAGACCCGAACGCCCTGCGGCTCGTAGCTTCACGTCGGGAGTAACAACCCATACCTCCCTCATTGACTCCGGGGACATTCCCATGCCTGCCACCCCTTTCCCTTGCGTGTGCTCGCGCAATCCGTCTGCTTCGCTTCTCATCCTGTTTGACGCTTGCTGCGCGCCGTCGAGAACTCCGTGCGTTGCCACAGAGACCGTGAGCGCCGAGAGGGGAGCGGTGGAGTTCAGCCGAGACTCCGGGCTAGTGGGGACTACAGCGCCATGTCTTTCCGCGACCTCCGCAGTAAGGAAACCCTACCCTTTGTGACCTGCGGGCCTCCTGAGAGACTCGGGGACCGGCGCGCTGGGTCCTCTGGTCTGAGCTGCATCGAATCCCTCCCGGGCCTCTGCGCCTCAGGCGCGCCCCTGGTTCTCTGCTGCCCACTCCTACCCAGGTTCAACGCCCCAGCCCTGGTTTTGTATCTGCCACTGGCTGTGGCTTGTGCAGCTGAGGAACCGAAGTTTTAATTTTATCTCACTTTAAATGATTTGTATAGCTACTTGAGCTCTTCGCTACCAAGTTAAAAAACCCAGAGACCGTTTTTTGGGTTTTTTGGGTTGGGTTAGATTAGAGTTCAGAGAAACGAACAACAAAACCGAGGAGGGGACTGCTGAATAGTAATTGCGCTTAGCTTTTTTTGAGGTTCTACGATCTGCTAGTTAGTAACTGTTTTGTGTAGGCATCATTTTATTTACTCCTCTGAATAACTACGCTTCTGTATTTAGAGATGAGCAAACTGGCACAGGGAGGTCAAGTACCTTAATCAAGGGACACAAGTGGTAAGAGCTGGCTCTGGAAAGTGAACCCAGTTGTCTAACCTCCAACGCCTTCATCCTTACTAAAGGGACTGATGAGGATAAGGGAAGCCAAATGCCTTTGCCAGAAGGTTGGCGAAGTGGAAGAATGGAGAAAAGAGAGTTATTACTACTTTCACGCTAGGTATTTTACCTTCACTATCGTATTTTAGTTCTCACTTAAATGGTGAGGCAAGTGGTATAATTCCTGGATGAAATATTTGAGGCACAGATAGGTAATTTGTTTTAGGTCACACAACTGGAATCCGGTGGAAGCAGGGGTCGAGACATAGTACTGTGTAAATCAAAATCTCTTACCTTTTTATACAGTGTCATTTTCTGAATCAGAAGCAGTTCAGCTAACTGGCTCCACCTGCATAGATGTAGCAGGTGATTACCAGTTTGCTATGTGTGATATGAGGGGACTCTGTAAAGCAGGGGTGTCAAACTCATTTTCACTGGGGACCACATCAGCCCCGCAGTTGCCTTCAAAGGGCCGAATGTAATTTTAGGACTGTGTAAATGTAACTACTCCTTAACTAGGGGCAAGGAGCTCTGTGCTGCCGCTGGGTAGAAGCAAGGTTCGGGGTGGGATGAAACAAGGTGGAGGGCTGAATTCGGCCACGGGCCTTGTGTTTGCCACCTGTGCTGTAAGGCCAATTTTCTAACTGAATTGCTGGTACCTGAAATTTTACTGTTAAAGATTACTTCTTTCAGTTATGGATTGCTTTATTTCTACAATGTAATTATACAGGAAGACACACCACATTTCATTGCTACGTGTACCAACACCATAGTGTGAATTAGCCCTCTGGGATGTAAAGATTCTTGGTGACTGTATGTTGTAGAGATAAGTTTCTCTCCCCTCCCAGTTTAGAGCAAGCCCTCTGCTAGGGGACGTTGCATGGAGTTGTATTGGGAAGAGTGTATAAGAAGGGGATTTCTGAATATTTTGACATTAAAGCTGTACAACTGTGCAATTTATGTTAAGACTCTAACTCAGATTTTCTCCATTTTGACAATAATATTGCAAAGTGAACAGAATTTAACTACTGCTTAATGGGAAGAAGTATTTAGGCAGTGCCTGACTGGATGCTGCTTGATTTTCCATCACTCTGTTCAGATTTCCCAAAAAACAGTGACAGAGGCCCTCAGTGCCATTGTTCTTTCCTCTGCTTATGCCTTTTCTTCTGTTGTCTGTTGTAATCCAACCTAACCTCTGATTGCCTGGGTAGTTTCTTTGTGAATGCTGTTGAGACCTTTTGAACATCTACCTTTAAGAAGAGTGAGGCCAGACATTAAAGAGCCATGAGCACACTGAATGTACATCTTGGCACACAGTGGTAACTCAAAACCTGTTTTTTGTGTTCATTTCCAAGTCCTTCTGAAAGCTTAGACAGCCCTGACCAGTGTGGCTCAGTTGGTTCAACGTAGTCCCGCAAAGTGAAAGTTCACCTGTTTGATTTCTGGTCAGGGCACATGCCTAGGTTGCAGGTTCGGTACCCAGGTGGGGCACGTACGAGAGACAACTGATTGATGATTCTCACATCAGTGTTTCTCTGCCTCTGTTTCTCCCTCCTTTCCCCTCTCTAAAAACAAATAAACTCTTAAAAAAAAAGTAAAAAGGCTGAGTGACAGCAACCTCTGGTGTCAACAAGTATTAGTATTACTGTTACTACTGTTTCTTAATCTGATTTGTAATAAATCTAAATAGTGCTCAGTAGAGCACTCATTCTCTTTAAGATTTCTCTAGATACAGTACAACTAATCTTTAAAAGTGTAGGTTATTAAGGTCCTATGTGCTCACTAAAAGAAAAAAAAAGACAAATCACACATAACTCAGCAACATGAACTTTACACTAATACCAGGACCCCCCAAAATAAACACTTAGCATTTTTAAATATTTTTGTTTATGATGTTTTATAGTGCCAGGTAATTCTCATTTTGAGTGGTAGGAAGATACCCAAGAGAGAATTGCCCTGGATGGGTGGCTCAGTTCTTTGGAGTGTCATCTCATACAGCAAAAGGTTGCGGGTTCAATCCTCGGTCAGGGCATATATGTAGGTTGTAGGTTTGATTCCTGGTTTGGGTGTGTATGGGAGGCAACAGATCAATGTTTCTCTCTTCCTCTCTAAAAAATCAACAAACATATCCTTAAAAAAAGAGACAGAAATTAAATTCACAGCCAATCCCTAAACCCCATTTTAATGTACAACTTCTACTTCTCCAAAGGAACTTAAATTATGATTTTCAGGAAGCAGATTATTTTATCTACTTTTTTCTTTCCCTCTTAGAGAGTTGATAAATAGTCCCTAAAACTGTCAATAGATTGGAAATAAGAAGGGAAAGCAAAGAAAGTATGTAAGTAATTGCTGTTTGATGAATTGACTGAGTTGTATTTTACCTTGAACAGATTTTACAGAGATGATGAGAGCCTTGGGTTACCCTCGACATATTTCTATGGAAAATTTCCGCACACCAAATTTTGGACTTGTGTCTGAAGTTCTTCTCTGGCTCGTGAAAAGGTTAGAATTACACTTTATTGAAGTCTATAAATGAATACTGATATTCTTTGTTAGACACCTAGAAACAGGATATTGTTGTAAAGCTAAAAGAAGAGTTCAATAAAATTTGAGTTTGACAGACGTAGTTGTAACCTGTTGAAAATCAGTTGAGATTTAAAGAATGCCTTGGGAGAAAGAATATACCAGGCAGAGGTAGAAGGAGACTATTTCTCAGTAGGACGCAGTAACTGGGGTCTAAGTTCCTCTCCACCCCTCACCTTCATCAGGAGTGACAGGGCCCTTCCTACACATTCTAATGAGTACACTGGATTAGAAATAATTTCAGTTTCACTTTGTGTTTAAAACCTAGTATCTAACATTTGGGGTTGGCAAATTTTTTGTTAAGAACCTTAAATGTTGCAGGCTACATAAGAGCTCTTTCACATATTCTGCAATATGTTTTGTTTTTTATAATCCTTTAAAAATGTAAAAACCCTTCTTAGTGCGCAAGCTGTACGAAAAGAGGCCAAGGGCTGCAGTCTGCTGAGTCCTAGTGGGTCATCGATAATGAAGAAAGTAACTCCAGTTACTCTCCTGTTCTGTGAGCTAACTAGTCAGCTGTGGTCAAGGGCTGTCAGCCAAAGTAATCATTTTGTTTATTTTAATTAAATTTTGAGGTCTGAAAGATTTAATTTTGTAAGCTGAGCTCCAAATTTGATTTTTGAAATCAGTTAAACCTGTTCTTAGGGTGAGGATTTGCTTCCTTGCATGTTTGGTATTTTGTGTTGCTTTTGAAGTCTTTTTTTTTATCTTGCTTAGCAGGGGACTCAGAGAGCCTCCTGTTACAGATCTACTGATTCACAGTTGCCTACTTTCTCTTTCATGGACTTTATACACAATTAACTAGTGTCTTCTCTCTCTCTCTCTCTCTCTCTCTCACTCAGGTATGAGCCTCAGACTGATATCCCTTCTGAGGTTGAGACGGAACAAGACCGAGTTTTCTTCATCAAGGCAGTTGCCCAGTTCATGGTTAGTTCATAGTTATTTGATGGAATTGTAAAATTGAATACATTAGAAAGAGATGAATCCTAGTTAGGGCTTCTTTCAAGTTTCTAAACCCATTCCATTACCAGGTTTCTGCAGAGCCATTTTGCCAGCAAATTTTTTGTTTTTAACTCATTATTAAGATTTTTATTTATTTCTGAATAGGTAGTATATTTCAAGGTTTAGAAATTTTATTTTAGATCATGAAATGATACAGAGTAAAATTACTTATTATTTTGTCTGCCATCAGCCTAGTTCTATTCCACGAAATCACTATTATTATTATTTTTAAATATTTTATTTATTTATTTTTAGACAGTGAGAGAGGGAGAAAGAGGGAGCGAAACATCGATGTGCGAGAGAAACAGCAATTGGTTACCTCTTGCATGCCCCTACTGGGGATCTGGCCCACAACCCAGGCATGTGCCCTGACTGGGAATAGAACTGGTGACCCTTTGGTTCACAGGCCAGCACTCAGTCCACTGAGCCACACCAGCCAGGGCAGTAATTACTATTAATATATTCCAGAGTTTATGCACATATAAGCAAATAGAATATATATGTTCTATATATTCAATATTCTATTAGAATAGAATATATATCTAAATGTATATATTTAATAGCTAATAGAACAATATATATTTAATACAAGAATATACTATTTCAGTAGAATATTGAATATATAGAATATATATGTTTTCTATATATATTCTTTTCCTTCTTTATACACAAATGGGGGCATACTGTTTAGAATCTTGCTTTCTTCACTTGATGGTACATTTTGGAGAACTTTCCAAATACATATAGAACTTATTCTTTTTTAAAAATCTTTTTCTTTATTATTTTTTAATCTTCACTTGAGGATATGTTTATTGGTTTTTAGAGCGAGGGAAGGAGGGAGGGAGGGAGAGACAGACAGACAGACAGACACATCTGTGTGAGACAGAAACATCGATTGGTTACCTCTCTTACACCCCAGACAGGGATCGAGCCCACAACCTAGGAATGTGCCCTGACTGGGGATCAAACCCACAACCTTTTGGTGTACAGGACTATGTTCCAACCAGCTGGGCCACCTGGCCAGGGCTCATTCTCTTAACACTTGAGTAGCGTTGCTTGCCTGGACAAACCATAATTTATGTAATTTAAATAGACAGACATTTAGGTGTTTGTCAACTTTGCTCTTTGAAGCAATGCTGTAACATATAAGCTATATGTATCTCATTTCTTTTTTGAGTATATCAATCTCTAGGATAGATTCTCAGGATTGGAATTGCTAGGTCAAAATATATGTGCATTTGTAATTTTGTTGTCATTTATACAAAAATTGCTGTCCATCAAGATTGTATCGCTTTATATACCGGTTTGCGATGTATGAGCCACTGGAAAGCAACTCTTAATACAGTCAGGTGATATCTCAAGTGTTGGTAAAGACATTTTCAAATTGCCTGAGATTACATGAGATTTGGTTTAGACTTTACATAGAAAGGGTCTTAAACTGTTTTTGTTTCCTTTGGTCTGAAAATAGGCCACCAAGGCACATATAAAACTCAATACTAAGAAACTGTATCAAGCAGATGGGTATGCAGTGAAAGAACTATTGAAGATTACTTCTATCCTTTATAATGCTATGAAGACCAAAGGGATGGAGGGCTCTAAAATAGGAGAGGAGGATATCAGCAAATTCAAGTTTGATCTTGGTTCAAAGGTAAGGACAATGAAAGGCTTATAGTGAGGGATAGAATGTGTATTTCTCACTCTGAAATGGAACATGTCATATACTCACAGAACCACTTCTTCCTTAGTTCTTGACTGAGGGCAATTTGTCAGTTTTGTACTCATCAGCATTTGGATAAAAGACACAATAAATTAATTCAACTATTTATGGAGAGCCTGCTGCTAGAAAGGTAGGAGAAGCTAGAGCTAGTAGAAACTGAATCCTAGAGGACTAAGGAAGTAGGAAGAAAGCTGTCAGCTATGAGTGAATATTGAGAGTTGTTGATGGTTTAATAATAAAAGAGACATTGGGGATTTATTGTTTAGAAGAGAGGGGGCATGAGCGTAGGGAAATGTTTTGTTTGGGCTCTCTGAAAATTGAGCATATTCAAGGAAGAAGGGATAACATGCTAATTCTAAGAAAGAAACTTATGCACAGGGCTAGATGTTAAACCATCATCACCACCATCACCATCACCATCCGATCTTCATAGTGATGACTGCCACCCTTGTGGGAGCTGGGTAGTGTTGCATGCTGTCTCATTTGAGCCTCACAGCAGCCCTGTGAAGTACAGTCGAAAGGCAGAGAATGAGGGGACAGAAGGGTGAAACAGAGGACATCTAGATGCTGCACTAGGAAATGTGTCCCTCAAATCACCCCTCCTGTGTTCACCCCACCAATGTCAGGGCCTCCTGTTGTGACCTTGTCCAAATCAGAAGCATATCAACTGTCACCACCCTACACCTCCTGGTTGAAGATTGCATTTGACTTGACATTTGGGTTTTTTGGAGAGACCCTACATTAGTCTAGTTTGTACTTAGATTGGTGTTTCCCAAACTGTATCTGGGAGCTCTCTTCCACAGGAGGTGATATATGAGTATGTCTTGTGGAAAATGTGCCCTGTAGTCACATATACTGACTGGAGATACGGATTGTTATTAACAGACTGGTTGTTTCTGCATGCTTATTAAAAAAACCTGTCACTTATCCTGTTTTTGATGATTTCCTTCCAGATTGCCGATTTGAAAGCAGCCAGGCAGCTTGCTTCTGAAATCACCTCCAAAGGAGCATCTCTGTATGACTTGCTGGGCAAGGAGGTAGAGTTGAGGGTAAGCAGTGCTCAAATAACTTAATATCTTTCTCAGCTAAGCAGATATTTAAAGTTTTTTCCCCTGACTGTACCCGATTACACGAGATAATGTGTGAGAAAGTAATATATAGTATTAGCTGCTATTTCTCGTTCTAGTGGGTACTGGTCTGTTTTTAATGCCTTTGACTTCTAGTTCAGGAATGGCAGCTATGTCGCTGAGACTTTTCTTCTGCGTCCATGGCACATGGCTTTACTGAGCATGATGCTTTTCCCGGGTGAACTCAGCCTCAGCATTCTCCTCCACACAATCCTCTTCTGAGCCGTGGTTCCTAAACCTTACTGCCCAATGCAATCACCTGGGGATGTCTATTTTTATTTACTTATTTTTAAAGATTTTATTTATTTATTTTTTGAAGAGAGGGGAAGGGAGAGAGAAAGAGAGAGAGAGAAACATCGATCAGGTACTTCTTGCACATGCTCTTAATCCGGGACAAAGCCCACAACCCAGGCATTTGTCCTGACCGGGAATCGAACTGCCTACTTTTCACTTTGCAGAACAATACCCAACCAATTGAGCCACAGCAGTCAGGGCTTGTTTTTATTATTTATTTATTTATTGTCGATTGGTGAGAGAGAGAGAAGAAACATCAATTGTTTGTTTCCTGTGCACACTCAAACCAAGAATCAAACCCATATCCTTTTGGTGTATGGGTTGTTTGGGTTGATGCTCCAGCCAACTGAGCTACCCAGCCAGGGCCACATGGGGATTTTTAAAACTGCTGATGCCAGGCTTTTATTTTGATGTCATTGGTATGAAATGTGACTTGGGCATTGGGGATTTTAAGTCTTCTGTGTGATTCTAGTGCATAGCAAAGTTTGGGAACCAATAATATAAGCAGTCACAACCAGTCAGTTGAAGTTAATGTTAACAGTTTAAATTTATTTGCGATCCTGTTCTAGCTGATGTCATTCAAGTAGTATGCTGCTTCCATTATGTTTAAGGAATTGTTTAAGAGTGTGGTTCTGGAGGATTCCCATAGAGCTTTAAATTACCTGATGTCCAGGTTGTCCCCAAAACCAGTGAATCAGAATGTCTGAGAATGAGAGCCAGGCATCCAGTTTTGTTTTGTTTTTTTCCAATTTTTTTTAAATATTTTATTTATTTATTTTTAGAGATAGAGAGAGAGAGAGAGAAACATCAATGTGCGGTTGCTGGGGGTCATGGCCTGCAACCTAGGCATGTACCCTGACTGGGAAACGAACCTGCGACACTTGTTTTTTTCCAATTTTTTAAATTAATGTTTTATTGTTTATATTATTAGAGTTGTCCCAATTTTCCCCCCATGGCTCCCCTCCACCCAGTCCACCCCTACTTCTGTAGTCAGGCCCCACACTGTTGTCCATGTCCATGGGTCCTTCATATGTGTTCTTTGACTGATCCCTTCACCTTCTTTCAGTCAGTCCCTTCCTCCCCCCTCCCTTCTTACTGTTGTCAGTCTATTCCATGATTCTTTGCCTCTGATTCTATTTTTCTCATTCCTTTATTTTGTTCATTAGATTCATCTTACAAGTGAGATCGTATGATATTTGTCTTTCACCAGCTGGCTTATTTCAGTTAGCATGATAGTCTCCAGTTCCACCCATACTGTTGCAAATGGAAGGAATCCCTTTCTTTTTGTCTGCTGTGTTGTATTCTATTGCATAAATGTACCACAGTTCTTTAATCCACTCATCTACTGATGGGAACTTAGGCTGTTTCCAAATCTAGGCTGTTGTAAATAGCACTGCTATGAATATAAAGGTACATAAGTTCTTCTGAATTGGTGTTTCAGTATTCTTAGGGTATATCCCCAGCAGTGGAATTGCCGGGTCAAAAGGTATTTCCATTTTTAGTTTTTTGAGGAAATTCTATATTGTTTTCCACAGTGGCGGCACCAGTCTTCAATCCCACCAACAGTGCACTAGCATTCTTTTTTCTCCACATCCCCACCAGCACTTGTTGTTGATTTATTAGTGATAGCCAGTCTGACAGGTGAAGTGATATCTCTTTGTTGTATAAATTTGCATCTCTCTGATGGCTAGTGATTTTGAGATTCTTTTCAGATGTCTATGGGCAGTCTGTGTATGTTCTCCTTGGAGAAGTGTCTATTCAGGTCCTTTGCCCATTTTTTAATTGGATTGTTTGTCTTCTTAGTGTTGACTTGTATAAGTTCTTTATATACTTTGGAGATTAAATCCTTGTCCGATGTACCATTGGCAAATATGTTCTCTCATACGGTTGGTTCCCTTTTTATTTTGATGATGGTTTCTTTAGCCATGCAGAAGCTTTTTAATTTGATGTAGTCCCAATTTGTTTATTTTTTCCTTTATTTTCCTTGCCCTAGCAGATATATTGGCAAAAATTTTGCTCTGTGAGATATCTGAAATTTTACTATGTTTTCCCCTAGGATGTTTGTTTATGGTATCACAACTTATATTTAAGTCTTTTATCCATTTTGAGTCTTTTCCGGTGTACAGCATTAAGTTGATGGTCTAATTTCATTTTTTTTTGCATGTAACAGTCCAGTTCTCCCAACACCGTTTATCGAAGTGACTGTTTTTATTCCATTGTATGCTCATGCCCCATTAGTCAAATATTAATTGACCATAAAGACGTGGGTTTATTTCTGGGCTCTCTGTTCTGTTCCTTTGATCTATGTGTCTGTTCTTATGCCAGTAACAGACTGTTTTGATTACAGTGGCCTTGTAGTATAGTTTGATATCAGATACTGTGATCTCTACAATCTTATTCTGAAGATTGCTGAAACTCTTTGGGGTCTTTTTTGGTTCCATATAAATTTTGGGGATATTTGTTCTAGATCTGTGAAGTATGTCATTGGTATTTTAATAGGAATTGTGTTAAATCTATAGGTTGCTTTGGGTGGTATGGGCATTTTAATGCTTTTAAGTTTTCTACTCCATCAACGCAGTATATGCTTCCGTGTATTTGTATCTTCCTCAATTTCTTTCTTCAGTGTCCTATAGTTTTCTGAGTACAAGGCTTTTACCTCTTTGGTTAGATTTATTCTTAGGTATTTTTGTTGTTGTTGCTCTAGTAAATGGAATTTTTTCCCCTAGTTTTTCTTTCTCATAGTTCTTTGTTGGTGTACAAAAATGTCATTGATTTCTGAATATTGACTTTGAATCCCGCTGCTTTGCTGAATTCACTTGCTGTGTCCAGTAGTTTTTTGGTGGAGCCTGTAGGGTTTTCTATGTACACTATCACATCGTCTGCAAACAATGACAGTTTTACTTTCCCCTTTCCAATTTGGATGCCTTTTATTTCTTCTTCTTGTCTGATCACTGTGGCTAGAACTTCCAGTACTACGATGTATAAGGGTGGTAAAAGTGGCAGCCTTGTCTTGTTCCTGATCTTAAGATAAACGCTTTCAGTTTTTGCCCACTTTGAGTATGGTGTTGGCAGCAGGTTTTTCGTATATGGCCTATATTGATTTGAGTTATGCTCCCTCTATTCCCACTTTTCTGAGTGTTTTTTATCATAAAGGGGCATCCAGTTTTTAAAGATGTGATTCTAGTGTGTATCAGAGTTTGGGACCCACTGGTTTAGGAAGAAATGGAATATTTCTTCTTACCTGTAAGGATTTATGGCACTTGATACACATGTGCTCTCATCTAACATTTCTAATTAAATACATTTGATTCATTCCATTCCCATCAGGTATTTCAGCTATGCCCACTCTTTCACTTCGTTCTTTGCCTGTGTTCTGGCCTGGCAACTGCAGTATAATGGTATTTTTTCCTCCTTTTATTTCTGCCCCAGGAGAACACTGGAGGTGGTAGAACTGGATGCCAGGTCACCATCCCTGCTCTTGATACAATGGTTGCCACCTGCCAAAGTGCAGTTGGCAGAACAAAACTGCCTCTAATGTCTAATAGCTAATTTATTTTATTTTTTAATTAATTATTTTTTAAAAATCCTCACTCGAGGACATGCTTATTGATTTTAGAGAGAGAAGGAGAAAAGAGAGAAGGTGGCTGATCGGAGAGAAACACCGGTCAGCCACTTCTCGCATGTTCCCCGACTGGGACCAAACCCACAATTTAGGCATGTGCACTGACTGGGAATTGAACATACGACTCTTTGATCCATGGGATGATGCTTCAACCACCTGAGCCACATCAGTCAGGGCTCTGATAGCTAATCTAGATAACTAATGAGGCAACTTCAGGCTTTCCATGTTTTCTTTTTATAGTACAGTTGTACACATGTCTATACATGTTCCTAACAGACCTAGAGACAAGAGCTGGTCACTTGCTTTTTGTCAGTGGAGAGATGGCTTCCTTGTGAGACTTCACCCAGATTCCTCAGGGGGCCCTTTTAGCACTGTCCTGTAATGAGTTGATGAAACAATCAGTGTTTGAACTATTGCTGAAGGAGCCATGAGACCCTTAGCAAATTCTGTGTACAGTTATGTTATGATCTGAGAAAGACCTCGTAATCGGTTTTGGTTTTTTTGCACTCGGCCAGTGTTCACTGAGGATCAACACCAACCACAGGCAAGATACTTAGCCTTGAATAAGTTTTAATGCTTTCCTCAATTGTTTTCTACCAGTGGGGAGGTAAGGTACACCATGCAGTAAAGGAAGGAAGCACAAGACAGAGTTTGATACAGTGATTCAGGAATCTCATAACTGCATCCACATTAAAATACCATGTCTCAGAAGTTCCCAGGACTGATGTAATAAGCACAGATGCCTCCCTTGATTGGTCTATTATTGATGCTAGGGGCAGAGCCAAGGCCACTCTTCTCATTGGTTTAACTTGCCAATGATAGACATTGTAGGGGACGGCAGGGGATTCAGACAGCAAGTTGAGCTGCACTTGGTTTAGAAGTCATCTAAACAAAATGTAGGTAAAGAAGCAAATTTAGGAGAAAAGATGAGGGATGGTATGTTGCCCATGGTGCTATAGGGAAGCAGAGGGTGGTGCCTATAGCTGAAAAGGAGGCCTTGAGCACTGGAGAGAGACCTGGTTGGCAGCAGAATTACAGAATACATTGGGAGAAAGTGATGGTGGAAGTGTTTTTGCATCAGAGTTCCTTTTTTTTTAAGTTTTAAGTCATTTTTTATTTTTCAGTTACAGTTGACATACACTATTTTAGGTTCAGGTGTACACCACAGTTACTAGACATTATATAACTTATTAAGAGATCATCCTAATAAATTTCACACCCATCTGACCCATACATAGTTATTAGAATACTATTGACTATATTCCTTATGCTGTACTTTACATCCCTATGGCTACTCTGTAAAACCAATTTGTACTTCTTAATCCCTTCACTATTTTCATCCCTACGTCAGACCCCCTCCCACCTGGCAATCATCAAATGTTTTCTATCTGGGAGTCTGTCTTTTGTTGTGCTTGTTTGTTTTTTAGATTCGGTTATTAAAAGATATGTATTTATTGCCATTTTATTCATATTTTAATCTTTTTTTCTTCTTAAAGAAGACCCTTTAACACTTGATATGATACTGGTTTGGTGGTGATGAACTCCTTTAGCCTTTTCTTTTTTGGGAAGTTCTTTATCTGTCCTTTGATTCTAAATGACAGCTTTGCTGGGTAGAGTAATCGTGGTTGTAGGACCTTGCTTTTCATTACTTTGAATATTTCTTGCCAATCCCTTCTGCCCTGCAAAGTTTCTTTTCTTTTTTAAATATATTTTATTGATTATGCTATTACAGTTGTCCCATTTCCCTCCTTCATTCCCCCTCCACCCTGCACACCCTCTCCCACCCACTTCCCCCCCTTTAGTTCATGTCCATGTGTCATAAGTTCTTTAGCTTCTACATTTCCCATACTATTCTTGCCCTCCCCCTGTCTATTTTCTGCCTACCATCTATGCTACTTATTCTCTGTACCTTTTCCCCCTCTCTCCTCCTCCCACTTCCCTGTTGCTAACCCTCCATGTGATCTCCATTTCTGTGGTTCTATTCCTGTTCTAGTTGATTGCTTAGTTTCTTTTTGTTTTAGGTGTGGTTGTTAATAATTGTGAGTTTGCTGTCATTTTATTATACATGTTTTTTATCTCCTTTTTCTTAGATAAGTCCCTTTAACATTTCATATAATAAGGGCTTGGTGATGTTGAACTCCTTTAACTTGACCTTATCTGAGAAGCACTTTATCTGCCCTTCCATTCTAAATGAAAGCTTTGCTGGACAGAGCAATCTCGGATGTAGGTCCTTGCATTTCATGACTTGGAATACTTCTTTCCAGCCCCTTTTTGCCTGCAAGGTCTCTTTTGAGAAATCAGCTGACAGTCTGATGGGAACTCCTTTGTAGGTTACTGTCTCCTTATCTCTTGCTGCTTCTAGGATTCTCTCCATTTTTACCTTAGCTAATATAATTATGATGTGCCTTGGTGTGTCCCTCCTTGGTTCCAACTTCTTTGGGACTCTCTGAGCTTCCCGGAGGTCTGGAAGTCTATTTCCTTTTCCAGAATGGGGAAGTTCTCCTTTATTATTTGTTCAAATAACTTTTCCACTTGCTGCTCTTTCTCTTCCCCGTCTGGTACCCCTATAATTTGGATATTGGAACATTTAAAGATGTCCTGGAGGTTCCTAAGCCTCTCCTCATTTTTTTGAATTCTTGTTTCTTCATTCTTTTCTGTTTGGTTGTTTCTTTCTTCCTTCTGGTCCACTCCATTGATTTGAGTCCCAGTTTTCTTCCCATCACTATTGGTTCCCTGTGTATTTTCCTTCATTTCACTTAGCATAGTCTTCATTTTTTTTTCATCTAATTTGCGACCAGGTTTGACCAATTCAGTGAGCATCCTGGTCACCAGTGCTTTGAACTGTGCATCTGATAGGTTGCTTGTCTCTTCATTGCTTAGTTGTATTTGCTCTGGAACTTTGATCTGTTCTTTCATTGGGGCCATTTTTTTTGTCTTGTCGCACCTATTACGTATGAGGGTCAGAGCCTTAGGTGTTCACCAGGGCGGGGCAACCCAGTTGCTGGGTTGTGATGCTGTATGTGGGGGTAGGGTCCGAGAGGGAACAATGGTGTTTGCTCCTCTCTCTGTCAGATTTCAGTCCCTTGTGCTGCTTCCCCCAAGCAAACTGGGCCTTTCTGGTGCTGATTCCTGTGTGGGTGGGTTTGTATATGTTCCAGGACCCTCTGGGTCTCTCCAACGAACTCTCCTGTGAGGCTGGGAGTCTCTCCCTGCACCTCAACCCCCACAGGTGTTTTCAGTCGGTGTTTTGAGGCTTTATTTCCCAGCACTGGGACCCTGGGTTGCACGGTCTGTCTCGTTCCCCAGTTTCACCTGGTTTATCTGCGTGCAAATGTGGGACTGCCCAGTCAGCCAACTGCCTTGTGCGCTATGCCTCGCTTCACAATTGCCACCTCGCTGGGTCTGCCAGCCGCCACCTGTGCACCCGGGGTTTGTCAGCTGCTGCCTTGCACACCCGGTGCCACTGCTTTTTGTGTCACAACCCCTCTCCGCCTGGCTGCCCGACTCTGCCCCACCTATCGGTCTGGGTGAATGTGTCTGTTTTAACTCCTTGGTTGTCAGACTTCCATACAGTTCAGTTTTCTGTCAATTCTGGTTGTTATTTTGTTTCTAAAGTGTTGTCCTTATTTTGGTTGTGTGAGGCAGCACAGTGTGTCCACCTGTGCCTCCATCTCAGCCGGAATTCTCTGCACAGTTTCTATTGAGAAATCAGCTAGCAGTATTATAGGAACTCCCTTATAGGTAACTAACTGCTTTTTCTTGCTGCTTGTAAGATTCTCTGTTTTTAACTTTGGCATTTTAATTATTATGTGTCTTGGTGTGGGCCTCTTGGTATTCATCTTGTTTGGGACTCTGTGCTTCCCGGACTTGTGTTTCTATTGCCATCTTCAAGTTAGGGTATTTTTCTGTCATTATTTTTTGAAAGAGGTTTTCAATTTCTTGATCTCCCTCTTCTTCTGGCACACCCCTATGATATACCAAATATTGGTATACTTGAAGTTGTCTGAGAGGCTTCTTACACTAATGTTTTTGGTTTCTTTTTTCTTTTTGCTGTTCTGATTGGGTATTTTTTGCTTTCCTATATTCCAAATTGCTGATTTGATTCTTGGCTTCATCTACTCTATTGTTGATTTCCTATAAAGTATTCTTCATTTCAGTTCATGTAGCCTTCATTTCTGACTTGTCCTTTTTATGCTGTGGAAGTTCTCATTAAGTTCATTGAGCATGTTTATAACCAGTGTTTTAAACTCTGCATCTATTAGATTGTTTGTCTCCATTTTGTTTAGTTCTTTTTCTGGAGTTTTGTTCTATTTTTTCATTTGGGACATGTTTCTTTGTCTCCTCATTTTGGCAGCCTCCTTGTGTTTGTATCTATGTATTAGAGCAACTACATCCCCTGGTGTTGGTAGAGTGGCCTAATGTGGTAGGTGTTCTGTAGGGCCCAGTGGCATAGCCTCCTCGATCACCCAGTTTGGGCATTCAAGGTGCACCCCCAATGTGGGCTGTGTACACCCTTCTCTTGTAGTTGAGCCTTGATTGTGGTTGGCACGTCAGTGGGAGGGATTTATCCCCAGGCCAATCAGCTGCATGGACTGGCTGCAACCACCAATCATTGAACTCCTCCCTCTGTGGAGTATCAGCTGTGTAGGGGCCCACCCCACAGAGCAGAACTTACTTCAGTGGGGTTCTGGTGCCCCCTGAGTCTGCCCCTTGATTGTGTCACTTGTGGAGGTGGGTGATAGTGGTGCTTCAACATGATCTGAAGCGGCCACTGGTTTTGCTGCCTCTGGTGCTTCCTGAAAGGTACAAGCCAAGGTCCTATGCAGCCTGTATTTTGCCTGGGGCCATCTGGCATGAGCTACAAATGGTTGCTAATTTATAGATTTATAGATGGCTGCTAATTGTGCTGGGCTTACAGGTATCCAGGTGAGGCTAGGCTGTGAACCAGGTGAACCAAGGCAGATTGCTGCTAGTGCTGGGCCTGGGGCCACATAGCTAGAGGTATGGGACACACTGAAGCCAAATGCTGCTTGTTTGAGAGATTATAGGAAAATCTGAAGCATGAGCCAGAATAGGCCATTCATATGGAAAAGCCACTAAAAACAGCTTGGGTGGGCTTGAAACTGGGTGAGGCAGGGCCTCAGGGAATCACTAGGGTGGGCAAAAAAGTGATAGCCAAGTTGATGGAGTCTCAAATATGCTGTCTACCTGCTGCCTTTGTGCAGGCAAGGCTCATCAAAAGAACAAGGTATCTGCCATCACTTCTGCTTGGGAGAAAGCTGTGCCCCCTAGCTCTTGCCCTAATGCCAGGCTTTCCAGTTCCTTCCCATAGGTCCCTGGTGCCTTCCAAGCTGCTGCTTCAGCACTGGAGATCAGAGGGAGTAAGTCTGTGTGTAAGCCCTCTAAGAAGAACACCTGGGACTTTGTCTTACTCAGCTTCAATCTCCACTGGTTTTTATAGCCAGAAGTTATGGGGACATTTCTTCCTGGCACTGGAACCATGGGATGCGGGCCTGGTGTGCAGATGTGACCCCTCACTCCTCAGGGGGACCTCTGCAGCCAAGATATCCCTCTCTATTTTTATCTGCCACATGTGGGTGGGAACCCACTTTTCTGCATCTCTACACTGCCTGCCAGTGTTGATGTTGTGGCTTCTTTAACTCCCTAGTTGTCAGACTTCTATTCAGCTAGATTTCAGGCAATTCTGAATGATGTTTGCTCTGTTGTTTGGGTGTAATTTTCATGTGCTTGTGGGAGGAGGTGATTGCCAGGTTTACCTATGCCACCATCTTGACTGGAAGTGAGATCCACATTTTAACGAACCTTTTAGGAACCAGTCCATAAGCCATATCTAGGTCTGGAAACTGGTTTTGAGAATTCCTCTTTGAAATATATGTAATTTTATTTCATTGTTTCCCATAGGAACTGAGAACAGAAGCAATTGCCAGACCTCTGGAAATAAACGAGACTGAAAAAGTGATGAGAATTGCAATAAAAGATATTTTGGTAAGATTATTTTTCCTTTTCTAAAGTTTTGTTTGTTTGTTTAGAGAGGGGAAGGAAAGGAGAGAAACATCAATTGGTTGCCTCTTGCATGCACCCCAACCAGAGACCGAACCCATAACCCAGGCACATCCCCTGACCAAGAATCGAACCTGGTAACCTTTGGTTTTGCAAGATGATGCTTAACCTACTGGGCCACACTGGTCAGGACCAATTACTTTGCTTTTATTTAATGTTTTTGTGGCTGGGCCTCAAAAGTACTGATTGCTTGCCTCCATAAGAGAGAACAAGCTAGGCCTGGTGACAAAGAAGGGTATGTTAGTAGGGAAATGAGAAATTTAGAGAACGTTCTAGAATACTTAGGTCACTTACTATTATTTTTCCCCTTGTTATAAATATGTACAACTTCTAATGTTATTAAAAATATGTTTTGATTTGAGAGAGACAGAGGAAGAGAGAAAGACATCAATTTGTCATTCCACTTATTTATGTACAGTATTCATTGATTGATTCTTGTATGTGTCCTGACTTGGGATTGAACTGCAGTCTTGGTGTATTGGGACAGTACTTCAACTAACGGAGCTACCCAGCCAGGCAAAAATTTGTCAGTTTTATTACTTCAGTAATTTATGGACTCTTCACACTTTATCTAACCAGTTTCTCATTGCTGGGCATTTCAGTGATTTTTAGGTTTTCTTAATTCTAACAGCACTATAATAAATAGAATGATCACCATCCTTTACTATTTAGCCACTGATGAATTACTATTTGCTCATCCATTTGGAAGGCAGATAGTGAGGGGCATTCTAGGCTCATACTGTTTGGGTTTGAATCTCAACATGTGATCTGAGCCATGTTATTTAACCTCTGTGCCTCACTTTCCTCATCTGTAAAATGGGGAGAATGGCAATGCCTGCCACATAGGGTCCCTTTGAGCATTCATTATAACAGGGAATGTCATACATAGTCTCTGGCATATAGTAGGTATTCAAACATTAGAATTCATTTTATTCAGTAGACACAGGTGGGGGGAGCCTTATGTAAAATAGGAATAGGCATAAAGCAATTTGCTGAGAGTTGTATGAAGTTCTAAGATTGATAGATTTGTACTCCCTGGGGGACCCAGCATGGGCAACCAGAGCCTCAGCAGGGTAAAAAGGGCAGGGCAGCCAAGATGGGAGATTGATTATGTATAGGTGGGTTGATTCAAACAAGTAAATACAGTTGTGAGTACACGAAACAGAGTTTGTTCTTGTATTATTATTTTATTGTTTTCCATGTGAATAACTGTAAACCTACTTTCTCCCTACCTTATATATTAAAGATAACAGAGGCCGAGTTTCTCACTATTGGAGAAGGAAGTGACAAATATGAAAAGGGAAGAAATTAGAAGGAACCATGAAATTGGAGTCGTTGTTTAAGTGCATGGTTTTCAACATATATAGAGATAGATATAGGAATAAATTTTGATACACATGTTCGGTATTTATATATACACGCATGCACATGCATGCCCACATACACATTCATACATTTCTTAGCTCTGAGCACACCTAGCACCCAGATCTTCTAAATGCCATTCTCCATTAAAAGGAACCAGGGCTCTTGGGGAGAAAGGGCTTATTCCAAAGCTGGGAGAGGAAAGTGTGAGAACTTATACCAGAAAGCAAGGAAGTGCTCTAAGACTGAAAGGGAACTGTCAAAAGGACACAGAAGCCAGCTTGAGTGAGCTTCCTCTGGCCAAACCAGGGTCAGTTTAAGCACCAAAATACATAAATAATAGTAATGGATTATAGACCATTAAAGGAAATGGGAGATCATGAATACTCACTGATATAAAAAAATAAGTGAACATACTGCTGGTTTTTCACATAGTTTCAAAGTAGCTCTCCACAAAACACAAATTACAAAGGAGAAAAGAGTAACTTCATATGAGAAGCCTGACAGACACCCCTTTAAAACAAGTGATCAAAGTAAACATGACCAGTGATTGGAACAAACCAAAATTTTGCACACATGATATAATGTAGTCATATCTGTGCTAGCTGAAGATTCATAATCTGAAGCTAATCAGACAAAGGCAAATGGGGGATGCCCTATAAATAACCTGGCCGGTACTCTTCAACAGTGAAAAGGACACAGAAGTCCAGGAATGGCTAAGAAGCCATTCCAGACCAAAGGAGGCTAAGGAGACATGACAACTGAATGCCAAGGCTGACCTCCATCTTCTGTTAAGGTCTTCATGGGACAAATGGGGGAACTTGGGTGGGCTTGTGGGTCAGCTGGCAGTAGTGCACCAGTGTCCATTTTCTGTTCTGATGATTGTATTGCGGTTAGGTAGGAGAAAGTTCTTATTCACAGGAAATGCACACTAAAGTATCTGAAAGTGATGGGGCATCCGGCCAGCAACTCTCTCACCTAGGTTGAGAAAAAAATGTTTTGTATTCAATATTATACTCCAGCTGTTTGTAAGTTTATGATTGTTTCTAAATTTTAAAACTATTAACATGATAGTCTTGTGCTTGTCATTGTTCAGGCTGAATCAACCTAACATGGCATGAATGTACCTTTAGCACTAAGTATGTATCAAAAATAGAACAGCCAGATGAGGCCACAGTTCATTATTTGGTAAACATCTCTTAAGATATTATTTCAAAAGACAACAGAAGCAAAAATAAATAAATTGGACTACATCAAACTAAGAAGCTTTTGCACCACAAAGGAAACCATTAACAAAACAATAAGGCAACCTATTGAATGGGAGGAGTTATTTGCAAATGATATGCCCAATATATAAAGAACTCATAAAGCTCAACATCAAAAAAACAAATAGTCCAATTTAAAATTGGGTAGAATACCTGAATAGACATTTCTTCAAAGAAGACATATAGATGGCCTGAATAGACACATGAAAAGATGCTCAACATCACTAACCCTAAGAGAAATGTAAATCAAAACCACAGTGAGATACCGCCTCACACCTGTCAGAATGGCCATCGTCAAAAAGTCAACAAACAACGTAATGACAAGGAAAAGGAGAAAAAGGAACACTACCATACTGTTGGTGGCATTGTAAATTGGTACAGCCACTATAGAGATCCCTCAAAAAATTAAAAATAGAACTCCCATGTGATTCAGCAATTCTGCTTCTGAGTATTTATCTGAAGAAATTTAAAACACTAATTCAAAAAGATATAGCACCCCTATGTTCACTGCAGAATTATTTACAATGGCAAAGGTGTAGAAGCAACCCAAGTGTTTATCAATAGACAAATAGATTTAAAAGCTGTGATATACACACATGCAATGGAATGTGACTCAGCCACAAAAAGAATGAATTTTGCCATTTCTAACATGGATTGACCTGGAGGGTATTATGCTGAGTGAAAAAAGTCAGACTGAGAAAGACAAATACCATATAATTTCATTTATATGTGGGACCTAAAAAACAAAACAGAACAGACTCGATTCAGAGAACAAACTGGTGGCTGCCATTATGGGAGAAGGGTTGGGTGACTGGGCAAGGAAAGTGAGAGAGATTAAGAATTCCAAATTGCCAGTTAAAAAAATAGTCATGGGGGTATAAAGTACAGCAGAGGGAGCACAGTCAATAGTATTGTAACTGCTGTGAATGGTGCCAGGTGGATACTGGGCTTATGATGGTGAACACTTTGTAAGACATATAAATGTTGAATCACTACGTTGTACACCTGAAACTAATACAATATGTCAACTATAATTGAAAAATGAAATTGAAAAGTATATGTTTTAAAAAGATGTCTTTTCATTGTTGGAAAATATCCACGATACTTGATAATTCTAGAAACAAAATCATAACAACACAGATACTTAAAAGGGGTTATTTATTTTGGAAAGATCACATTGATCTTCCCTTTTTGAGGAATAGACACTTTTTAAAAATCATTTTTATTTTGAAGTCAGATTAATTCACTAGGTTTTAATCTGACTTTGATTCAGAGAAATAGTTGCCATCAACTTAATTTATCTGTTCAGAAAGGAGACCCACCTTGTTTTCCTATGAAAATGAACTCATATCTCTGCTCGTGTTTTTTTAATAAATAATTTAAAAATTTTTTTTAAATTTTTAAAAGTTTAAAATTTTTAAAATTATACTTGACATGCAATATTATATTAGTTTCAGGTGTGCAGCCCAGTGATTAGACATTTATATAATTTTAAAAGTGGTCACCTAGATAAATCTAGTGACCATCTGACACCATAATAATAGTTATTACAGTATTATTGACTATATTCCCTATGCTGTACTTTATATCCCTGGGACTATGAGTATTCTGTAACTATCAATTTGTACTTCTTAATCTTTTCACCCATCCCTCCAACCCACCTCTCATCTGACAACCATCAAAATGTTCTCTGCATCTGAGTCTGTCTGGTTCTGCTTATTCGTTTTGTTTTGTTTTGTTTTGTTTTAAAGATTTTATTTAAGACAGGAGAAGGGAGGGAGGAAGAGGGAGAAAAACATCAATGTGTGGTTGCTCCTCCAGCGCCCCCTACTGGGGACCCAGCCTGCAACCCAGGCATGTGCCCTGACTGAGAATTGAAGCAGAGAACCTCCGGTTCTCAGCCTGGCACTCAATCCACTGAGCCGCACAAGCCAGGGCTCATTTTGGTTTTTTAGCTTTCATCTATAAGTGAAGTCATATGGCATTTGTTTTCTGTCTGACTTATTTCAATCAGCACAATATACCCTGTAAGCCCATTCATTCATGTTGTTGCAGATGTCAAGATTTCCATGGCTGAGTCATATTTCACTGTACATGTGCACCACTTCTGTATTCATTCATCTATTGATGGACACTTAGGTTGCTTCCATATCTTGGTTGTTGTAAATAATGCTGCAATAAACATATGGATGTGTATGTCTTTTTGATTTAGTGTTTTAGGTTTTTTTGTATAAATACCCAGAAGTGGAATTGCTGGGGTTTTCTTTGGTCTCATATTATAACCTTTGTTCTTAGGGT